CCTCCAATGTGTCCTAGGAAATCCTAGGACAGGGGGAGTGCGGAGCTGCAACTGGTATTGTAGGAAGGAGTTAGTGTTGGGTGTTGGAAGGGTCAACGTACCCGGAAATCCTTTATGGCTCAAGATGGCCAAGAGCCGTCAGCTTTTGTTGAAAAAGTACGTACGCCTGGGGTTGGGTTTAACGGGTTGGAGTAGTCCCGTCCCTTCTCCCTTATCCTGTCCCCTTAGGGGTGGGTGTTCTTGTTTCTGGTTCGATCTGGGAAATCCATATAGGCGACTGTTGAGGGTTGGTTTCTTTCCCTGTTCCCTTTCGGTTGCCCCCGTATAGGGTTTAGGGGTTTAGGGTTTAGGGTTTAGGTTTTCGGGTTTAGGGGTTAGGGTTTGGGGGGGTTTGGGGTTCACCACATGCTTAAGGGTGAATTGGGAAAGTTGAGATAGGGGTGAGCTCTGAAGCCTGTATGGGATCCAAGTGCATTCGGACTTTCTCAGTCGACCTCTGCAATGCCTTACGAGTAGTCCCGCGCTCCATGCTGACCCTCGACACCCCTAAAATTTGTACGGTTTCAGAAATCCTGCTCCAACTATGCCACTTTGCCGACTGCATTTTGCGAACTGCAAAGACTGACGATCAGAAAGGCTCTAATCACCTCCCCGCCCTTTATCGTTCATGGGAGCAGCCCCTTTTGATATCGGCAGGGATTGAGGTTTCAGGGAGCTTCAGAAAGGGCCGAAGAGTATTCACATTGGAGCGAGCACGGAGTGCGCTTTCAGCATTAGGGCTTGAGGCTTCTTCATTAACTAGGGCTGAGGTTTTTGGCCTTGTCGGTTGCGACTTGACGCGCGAGTCTGCTTGGATCTCCCACTCAGTACATGCCCAGCAGTCTCAAGGCTTGATTAAAGCACTTCTCGTCCGATCAACATCAAATAGCCTATAGTGTCTAACAAGAGCCCCGCATAGCTCGAAACCCACATCCAGATCCCAAGATCCGGAGCCCGAGCCGTGCACCGTCCCGGGTAGGCCAGCCCTTTGCCAGCCTGAGCTGCAAGGATGCAGAAGTGAGGATTTTGGCTTGCTGATTCGTATCGAGAGGGCCAGGGCGACAGGAGTCCCAGCATCACAACCAAAGCCCCTTGACTCTCAACGCAAGACCACTTTGACCCAAAATCGTTGTAGTGTCTGGAAGAGAGAGACTGTTGCCCCCTCTGAGGAAGGCAGCGAATCCAAGAGTTAAAAAAAGATTACTCTGAAGTTTATTGCCCGGCATCGGGCCGTCTTGGACCCCTTAGGTCCAGCACAATTTACTTGTGATTTAATTGGCCCGTGAACGTTGCACTGACCAAGCCTGAATACAACTAAACCGAACTTTAACTGTTTCAAGGAGTTGGCAAAACCGAAACGATTAAGTCACGACTTAGTTGCCTCCCAAGACCATTGTTGCATGCTAATGGTGGTGGCTCCAACTTCTTTGTTATTTCTTTTCTTTTTACGGGGTCTTGGTTCCTTTCTTTTCACCCGGTGGCACTGTCTCCCGTCCTACATCTTACCTGCACAGCACTTGCAGAACACTTGCATTGTATGTGCTCATGTGCTGTGAAAACGGAGATAGGTACAGAAAGAGTATGTTCGCGACTTTGACTATAGCCATAGCCAAGATGGCATCAAAAGCAAAAGTGCCGTTAAAAGCATCATGATGCATCTGCGGGCAGAAGAACACTTGGGACGTGTCCCTGGGCGACCATTTAAACTGCTGATGTAGGCGCAACCATGGATCAAGATTGGAAAGGAGGTCTGGATGCCCCACATGACGCCTCAGGAGGTCTGGATACCTCGTGACGGGCTGTGTTCCCAGGCCTTACTAGTCGGAAGAGCGCCTCTGGCCCATGGTATCGACATAGACATGGATAGTGGACTGTGGACCGTTCAGACTGTAGACTATAGACAAACCAGACCAGCGTAAACTAGAGTAGACTAGACTAGGCCAGGTTCGACTAAGCCAAAGCCAATCAACAGATCGTCAGTACATGTTTGGACATTCCCACAATTAAATCACGATTCATTTGTTCTCTCAATCTCGCAGAAATGGGATAAGGATGCCGAAATACCACATTATATCATGATTCAATGAATGGGGCAGATAGGTACCAACTAACATAAGTCTCACAGGCGAAGCTGCTAGACAATAAACCCAGGATTTAATTGTCTATCGGTCAAATGCACAGAAAAACTATTAAAAGCAAATTTAGTTGTGTCATTGGAGGGTCCAAGGTAGGTCAAAACCCAACCATTAAATCAGGGTTTCAGTTCTTAAACTTCTGGATTCATTGGTTTTCCCCCCCCCCCCCCCCAAAAAAAAATGCTCACACTGCCAAACCCCACATGGCCCCTGAATAGAAAGTCTGGTCCAGCAGACTTCTGTCCGGGACTGCGGCAAACTACCCGCAGACGGCAACTGCTGGGACACCGCCAGGCCGGCTTGCTCGGGCTCCTCGCAGTGTTTGGGGGGGCGGCAAAAGGGGGGGCTTGATGTTCATGAAGTCCCCTGCGGATTCATGGAGATCTAGGAGATCGAAGCCTTGTGGCCGTTTTGCTTCCCAGGCTTCAGGTACCAAAGGCATCGAGTTTGCACTGCTGTACCAGCACTAGGCAAGTTGCTGAGTGACAAAGGTTCAGAAGTAGATGACGACCTGCTCGGTGACACAACAGAGTGGCTCAGCACGGAGCCCTGTGTCTTTCACTCAGCGGAAGCAGCGCCAAAGCAATTGCACGTCTTGACCGAAGCACGCACTCCTCACTGATCCCGGCAACGGGAAGGGTGAAGCCACTCCGTACCTGGTACGCAAGTGACAGTTCTTGCCCTGCACAGCCCCCCAATGATGAGGGACCTTGGGCAGTCCATGCGCCCGCGCTCTGAAGCTCCATTCACTCACAAGTCTGACTCATCTGTGTTTTGCATTTGGGTTTGAGGCGTTGCTCTTGGCTTCCACACCAAACTCGGGCACAAAACTCCGAGAAATCCTGAGCATGGGAACCTCGTACTTCGTGCTTGGTGGGGATGCCGCGATGTCCTCGACGCGCTGCTTGGCACCTTCGGCCATGCTCCATGCAACCCGTATGTTCATTACTACCAGCTTCACGTGCAAGCGCTGCCCAAGCTCCACATGTCAACTACGCCATATACTTTGAAAAGAGACGACGGCGATGGTTGACTGCGGCGTCTTCATGCTCATGCCGTGCACAATCCTAGAACACTTCTAGATTGTTACCGAGCTCCCTGCTTGGACACGAGCAGCTGTCAAACCACCACCAGCTGTCTCCACCTCAGCAGAAACTGCTAAGCAAAAGCTCGATGTACTGGACGCGCAGAGAATGAAATGTCTAACTCCATACATCTGCAGCTGCGCCGGAGAACGGATCCCAAGCACAAAGCTGAAATGCGAAGAACAGTCGGAAGAGAGATTGCGGACGTTGATCTTCAATCACTTCTTCAAAACAACCCCGTAACCTAGTCCAAGCCATTAAGGTTCGGGATGGACTTCTAAGAGTTGGCGAGTACTACTATCGATTTCTGGCACGTTTTGTTCGCAGGCAGCGCGGATTGAACGGCGGACCAGTCGGCACTCTTCTCTGCATGATGCTGCAGGGGAGTGGAGGATCGGACTCCTAAAATCAACCTTCCACAATCTCCTGGATCCGCGCATGCTAACATGCGATGAAATAGCTGTAGGGAAATCGAAGTCATCACTCTAAGCATTCAGGGATTAATGACTCGTACCCTTAAGGATGAACCCCTAAGAGGTTCCCTCTGAATCAGTCCTAACATGGCTCTTATATTCCCCTAGAGGATCTTTAAAAAGGGTCCCAAACCCAAGGGTGCAACCCTAAGGGTCCAAGGTAGTCCGATGAAATCACATGTATCTAGCAAGACCCTCCTATGAGCACGTTATGCTGAAGCAGGCGTGCGACCAAGTGAGCGCTACTGCTCTGTCCAGTCCACCGCGGATAGCCTGTCATCTACGGCCTCTTTGGCTTTCATCAGCAGATGCCGAACCACAAGTCCGAGCGTCTGCCGAAAGCAACACGAAAAACTTGCCAGCTTTGCATGCAAGCCATCTCACAACAAGCCAGATCCTGCGTGTCTGTCGACAAGTCTGGCCCCAGCACTGCCGCCCTTTCAGCACCGACGAACCAGGCGTGCGGCATAGCAACGCGCCTGAGGCGTTTACATTGTTGGGGTTACATTGTTGGGGTTTGGCAATGATTCCGGCTTGGGGCAGGGGCTTGCCGGGAATGGGTCTGAGTGGGAGGCACGCTGCTTCGATGATCTCCACCGCATTGGAGCAGCGTGATCGCAGTGGGCGCAGGGTGTTGTCCTTCAAGGTCCCCTACAAGCCCCTATGCCATCAGGCGCTGCCTGTGGTGTTGGATGGCAACGAAAAACCTTTGAGACACGGCTTGAACTCTTGAAGGAGGTACATATGGCGTCCAGAGTAAAGTTCGCCACGGCCTCGCTTCCCCTCTTCCCATCCCTTCCCTTCACACACTCTTCACACCAACCCACAGCCCGAACCGAGCTTCTTCACTTGGCAGCAGGCACACGAGCACACACAGTGCACCGAAGGTTTTGTGCCTCTTTCCGTATCTGCAACACGACCGTGCCGACTGGAAACTCCGAGCCCCGTGGCTCGGGCCGGCCCGGCTGCCGACGCGGCGTGCCCAAGCGTCTCGAAGCAAAATTATGGAAAATGCCTCGTACTGTTTTTTTACGCATTCCTCTTTCAGCTGCTTCCGAACGACAAGGCATTAGGTGGCCTGAGCAAACTTGGCCGAAGGCCTCGATGCCTCGTAAAAGGACGAAAGGCTTTGGGTGAAATGCCAGAAACGAACCACACACTGCAACAGAATCTTGAAAGCAGGAGCCGCGGTGCTAACCCACAAGGCTGTATGTCCTGGAGTCCTGGACCGCCTTCTTCACGTCTGCCCTTCTTGAGGAGCGCCAGCGTCACAGCTCCGCGTGGTCCTCCTCCGCGTGGTCCTGGCAGTCCAACTCGGTCTGCAGAGCAAAGCTCGGAGCTGCACGACGGACTGCTTTGTAACATGTAAACAACTCCGACAAAGACTTTCTTCACAGAGATCTGCTGCATTGCTTTTTCCGCCCCCATGACGAAAGATAAACCAGAGTGTCAGAGACCGTCCTTGCTGGCTGCTGCCTTCCGTTCCTGCGCGGCGTTGCGCAGCGCCTGGCGAAAGTGGGGTAGTCATTCATCACGGGCCCAGGCGTGAATCATAATATACACTATACTCTATATATATATATATATAATGCATACATACATACATGCATGCATGCATGCATACATACATACCTACATAAATACAGACATACATACATACATACCTACATACATACATACAGACTGTACAAAATATGCACAATATACAGGATGTACGCAATATACACAATATACACCAATGTACATAATACACATAATATACACAATATGCAGAGTATCCACATACACCTAATATACATCCCGATACAACGCATGCCACGAAGCAACTCCATGCCTGCTAGCATTCCACCAAAATAATTATCAAAAAACACGGGTTCTTTGCGAAATTTGGGGGGGGGGGGGGTTCTGGCAACAGCCCCAAGATGGCACCTCGGACACCGCAGCCACGGCATACTGCGGGAGTGCGAAGGATGCTTCGTGCACCTTCCGGGAGTAGTACCTGATCATGGGTTGTTCTAAGCAGGGTTATAAGTACCCTAAGTAGGGGTATAAGCAGGGTTATAAGTACCCTAGAGAAGGAGATAAGCAGTTATGACTGTAGAAGCACAATATGGCGCCGCGGCAAGCCGGGATTCTCGGAACTGGTCAGGAAGGAGGGGCCCCCGAAGCAGAACGACAAGGCACCCCATCTCCAGGACTTCATCCTCGTAGCTCTCCCAGTCCACGGCCCCTCCAGATGTAGACAGGGGAGCTTGATGGAGAATTTTGGGGCTGGGCCTGGGGGCCTCGTGTGGTGCTTCAGAAGGCCTTGAGGTTGTGGGAGGGCTTTGGGATTTAGGGGAAGAAGCGCAGTCCCAAGCCTAAGTCAAGCGGGTCCAAAGCGTCCGAGCAGATGAGGAAACAGTAGTGACCTTCGGCAATGCTCATAGAGTGGGACGATAGGCCACATGAACCTCCATGAAGACCATGTATCAAATGATGCTCCGCACGTCCCACTGGCTTTCGTGTGTGATGACTCGACCACTCTGGCCCCAGTTTCGCCCGTCATCATGATAGAGTGGGCGGTTTAGGGCTCTGCAATCCAGATGAGCCTCAAATACCCAGCATGTCCACCCCACTGCCAAAGTTGAGGCAACACACCCTGATCCCTACCCCATTCAGCAAAAGCGGCCGGAGGTGTACGTCGGCTGATGAATCTGAAACACGCGCACGTACCTCTCGGACCCCAGGGCTGTTGGAGTCTAAGGTGCGAGGGTAGATGGTTTAGGGTTTAGGGTTTAGGGTTTAGGGTTTAGGGCTTAGGGCTTAGGGCTTAGGGCTTAGGGCTTAGGGCTTAGGGCTTAGGGCTTAGGGCTTAGGGTTTAGGATCTCGAGGCAGTGTCTGGTCGGTGCTTAAGATGCCAAGACCGATGCGAGGCACTTGAAGAGCAGCCGCTGGCGGTGCACACTGCGCTGTACAAGTCCCAGCTGCCAGGGCAGCGAGGTAAGATTGATGACCTTGGTAAAGGGTTTTCATGGGTGGCTGCAAGTGTTGCCCGGATTTTGTGGCGTGTGCAGAGCTTGCGTTTCGATGGGCCTGAATCTGGAGCTGAGGTCAACTCCTGTGGAGCTGTTGGGCACTGTAGGGACTCAGAAAGAACGATTTCTGCTACCAGTACCAGTATCTCACGTGTGTCAAATTGTTATGAGAAGAGTCCGCTTGGCATCCGGCGATGACACCGCCCTTGGCAAGCAGCCGACGGAGGCTGCGGCGAAAAGCCTCCTAGCTGGCAATACTCATATGTCATTATTCATGACCTATGACATACTGTATGAGTACATATTTATGAAATTATTGCAATTTGCAATGCTTGCAAAGGCATGCTGAGAAAAACTTGTCAGATCCCTCGGAGACTTTCGAGGTTGTCCACCGAAAACGGCGAGTGTCTGGAGGGACATGTAAGAATTGCTGAAGTCCCAGGCAAAGCTTCGGCAAACAATACGAGTCCCCCCCGTCACTGTTGGCTCCTCGAACAAGGGCTCCGAGGCACCTCGGACTGTCCGATGCACAAATGTGGCTTGGGGGCTTGGGGATGGTGAGTGAGGAGAGGGTGGAAAGTGGGGCTAAAAATGCAAGGCGCCAAAGTCGGTAGAATCGACGATGATGATGTCGAACCTGGTTTGGCAGGGCCCCATGTCACATTGTCGTCTGCATTGGAGCAAAATCGTGTGACGTCGATGAAGAATGCCCAAAGCAGCTACGCCGGACTTTCTCAAACCACGGCTGGTTGCCGACCTTTAGCTGTGCAGTAGGGAAGCAAGGACGTGTGCACCAAGCGATCTGGCCCTGAACCCCGAACCCCCTAAAATTCATGCAACTTCGGATTCCTGTCATTTGTGAAAGCCGACCTCCAGAACACCACAAGTCTGGAAAATGGTCGCATCACCCCACCATAAGCCCGCATCTTCCAAATAGCCCTAAGCCCTAAAACGTCTTTCGGCCCTGCGGCCTGTCGGCTTCGTGGGCACGCGCTGTGCCCTGGTACAGGCTTGGCTCAGGAAACGCGGACTTTGGGCTGGGTTCCGCAATTGAGGGGCGGCTGTCAACATTGTGTCCGGCAAAGTTTAGTTAAAGTTTAGTGAGCTTGGCGGCAGAGAAAGGGCAGGGGTGGGGGGTCGGGGGTCGGGGTAGGGGAGGGGGTAGTAGGGGGGAGGGGGGTAGGGGCTAGGGTGGGTCAGGGGGGACGGGAGGGCGGTAGGGGGTCAGGACCCTGGGGTCAGGAGGGAGGGGGGTGCATCTTGTATGTTCCCCGCAGCTCTTAGACCCCTTCAGGCAGCACCATGCTCTGCCCTGAAGCAAGGTAGCTCGATAATTCGTCGCATCCAATTCTGCAAGCTGCCGGTCCTCGCTCGCCACTTGTCGCCTGACGGGGGGGGGGGGGAAGGTCCACAATGTCTACGAAGTCCCCGCAGCTCTACAGCTTGTTGAACAGTCCCCACAACTCTTCCCCTCTCTCGGTCAGCAGAACCTGGATGTTCCCCCAGCATCCACACCATCGCAAAACCGCAGGCTCGTGCTCCGCTGGGGTGGCCAAACCAATGGTTGTCCAAGGCGCTCGACCCAGGAGGCGCCACTCTCCAGGCGCAGCTCCACGCGTGGGTCTCCGAAAGCTGACGCCAGCCTTCGAGGCCGCAAGGATTCGGGGCACAGGCTTGCAATGGGCCTCGTCCTACTTATCGCGGATGGGGGGAGGGGGTTCTTGAGCCGCTTTCCGGGATGCATCAGAAGGCTTCAAGGCCTCAAGCTCTGAAGGAGTCTGAGCAGGGGCATCCAAAGATTTGAACATCCAATTCCCAAGCCTTACAACATCCACGTTTGCACTCCTCCATTACTACTGGTCGCCAAGCCATGAATCCAGAGTCTCTCAACAAGCCTTAGACGACCCGTTAACCGGGCTTCGACACCGAGGACATGCCTCGGAAAGAACTGCTGACTGATCCGGACCACCTCCTCTGCAGAGAAAGGTCTCGCATGGTCTACGGGAGCGATCTGCCATAAAAACCCGGCCCAGCTACTTCCTGACATCTCTTGTGGGCGAAATGGTCTCTGGAAAGGCTTGCACAAGGCAGCCTTTCTATCCCCCGCCTTGATTCAACCAGCTTGAGCCACGAACCTTGCCTTGAGCAAGAAAATCGTCTCGATTACAATGCAGTTGCTGTACATGCTTGTGTTCACAGGTCCTTCGGCGTCGACTTGCAAACCGAGACCATAAACCTGACTACTTCTTGCAACTCCGGAGCTCAGCTTGCCGTGGGTTAAGATGTTCAACGAACATGCTCAGCAGCGATCTTGTGAATTGTTACAACGGCAAAATTGAGGTCACCCCTCTGGTTATGACACGCGAGACTCGACAATGGCTGCCGGCGGCGCCAACCCGGCTCAACCATTCGCCCTTAGGGCCCTTAGGGCGTAGAGAGTTTGGGGCTTATAGGGCTCCTCATCCAGTTCCACCACAGTCACGTTCTCCACCTTGGTCTCAGCAACTATGCCTAGAAGACTTGTGATGAGAATTGCGAGCTGCAAGCATAAAGCCCCACTTCTGCAGCCCCGACCTAACACCCCAAAAAGTAAACCAAATCGATGCCACTCTCATGGGACCTCGCCACGCTCTCGCGCCGAAGGAGCTGCTTAGCACTGCCGCCATCGCCACCGCCCACAACGAGGATTCGCCGAGCCGTGGGGACGTAGGCCTCATGGACAGGACAGGGGTTCAAGCCGTTCAAGCTGCTTAGACACCGACGCCCATACTCAAGCAGAAGCCCCTGAAAGGAGCTGCGGGCAAAAAACAGCGCTCGGCGTTCGGCTTTACAAATAGTCAATGAAGGGCTACCATGGGCGATAAGAAAAACCCAGGCAACTCCCCGAATCCGCCGAATTTCCAGGCCCGGCAACCAATTCCAGATCCCACACCATTCCTAAGCATACATACACTACAAACATCCTGCAGCACCCGAAGCTTGGTCCTGTGCAGGCCGAGTGCCATCGGAACATGCGCAATCATCTCGTGGTAGATGAACCTCAGCGGCTCGCGTTTGGGCGCACTCCCCTCTCTGAAACTTTTAAGACGAAGGCTCTTAAGTCCCAGGCCTCAGGCAGGCAGAAGCTTCGGGCCAGGGCCATTGTGGAAGCTTAACTCCCGAGAGCCTTGTCCAGAGAGGATCGACTTACAAGTTGTGCCGCCGCGCAGCTCGTCCCTTTCCGTAAGCATAAGGTCACCATCGATGGTCAGGATGTTTCCGAAGAACTCCGATTTTAGGACCTGCGGGTGCAAGATCCAGTGTCACAGGCGTGAGACCCACATTCTGGACCCACAGAACTGCCTTCATTCCGAAAGGATGAAAGCGGATTCAGCAAAGCAAGCCCTCAACATTGAGCCCCGGCCCTCTTATGTCACTTGCCTCAATCTTCTGGTACTTGCTTTGGACGCTGGCCAAAGGCACCACATCGAAAACCTCAGCTGTATCCCGAATGTGCTAGTGTCGCGTGGGTGTCGAGGACTGAAAAGAAGCTCGAAACATGAAAACATCGTTTATATCCCGGCTGGTCGACAACTTGTTCTCTAGATCCTGAATGAAAGGCACACACATATGGAGCCCACCGAGCCTAGCAACTGTAAACTGTGCACGCAGCTTCAGTGTGAACCTGTTCTTCTTCACTTGCTCCTGGAGTTCGTTGTGCATCAGGTTCATCCTTTCTGCCAGGAGTTCGCCAATCGGTCTTCGGAGAAGTAGAACTCCGTCCCCCAAGGCGTACGCAGCAACAAATGCACTCACTGCTTTTTCGAGAACATCAGTTCTCCGGTTGCTCTCATGCAAAAGCCCACGCCGTAACCTGGGATTTGTCACTTTTCACTTGGATTCTAATCCAGGACAAGCTCATGCCCCAAAAAAAAGAGATGCGAGGACCCCCAAGTCCAGGACCAGAGCGTCCCGAGGACCAGTTGGGTTTAAAGCGTGGGCTTCGCCTGGTCACTGAGGTTTCACAAGCTCCATTTCGGCCAGTTGTCCCGACGCCAGGTCTGGGTCAGGTCGCCTCCAGATTTTACGAACTTCGTTCAAGACTCTGTCCAGCTTCTCTTGTTGTTCCTTCTTCGGCCGCGGTTCGGGAAGCAGCTCCTTTGTCTGCCAAGTTTTTGGCTTGTTTTTTATTGCGATGATCGACAACAAGTATATCGCATATGAGCATAGCAAGATGCTTCTCCATGCGTCCTGCGATAAGTCTGTTGCGTTGGCCATCTTCCAGGGACGCTGACGAGCCCTGTTTGTTCGTGGTTCCCCTATTTGTTCGTGGTTCATCTGCGTTCGGAGCTGATTCTGGTGGGGCTGGTTTCTGTTCATCGGAATGTCTGCGATTCAACAGCTCCTGCTGCTGGGACTTCTCTATTTCAAAGTCGGTTGTTTGGGCTTCTTCCTGCTTGCTCCAGAAGATCATAGTCGTGATTCTCTTGCGAGGTGGTTCTGTCAAAGAAGACGCCCTTCTTCTTTGGCTCGCCTTCCAGAAGCACTGTCAATTGGATTTCTCCTTTTAGCTGGATTTCTCCAGGCTGAGCTTGCTGTGAATGAATCATCGTTCTCCTTCCTATCCATGGTTTCCATGCTACAGAAGTGCCTACACAAACAAACGCAAGCCTGCAAACTCTGTAACTATAACTTGTCCCCTTTCAACCCCAACGTGCAGAAGTCCGCCAGACCCAAAAAAAAACATAATGCATCTCAATACTGTAACCGACTTCCTCTCAGCCGTTCCTCCAGGACACTAAGTCTGCCCCCACCCCGCTGGGCTCCACAAACTGCCTGGACTGGCGGAGCCTCGTTTCCGCAGCTTGGAGGCTTCTGAAGATTCCGGTTCTTCACCCCGGGCTTGAAAGCTTCTCACATTGAGCTCTAGGGCCCAGCCTGCAATCCTGGGCTAGGGAACAACGCCACAAACCGGCTGCGAACATGGGGCCGGTTAGTTGAGGGGTTGAAATTCCAGGGCTCGGGCTGAAGACTTTGTTGAGTTGAAAACAACGAGAATATGTCTTAGGTGTCTATTGGCAAAAAGCATTGCGGCCATGTTCAGGAAGCGTGAAAGTGGGTGCTCACGTCGAACTGCACCACCCCATCTAAGTGCACGGCACTGCTGCCTATGCTAACCTCACACCATGAACTGAGCCAGCAGCGTATCAAAAGAACCTGAGAACTCGCGGTTCGAAACCAAAGCTTGGTAGGGCATTCCTGCTCAATCCGCGATACCCACGAAAGAGAGCCTTCACAAGAAGACCAAAGCCAGCCCCAACAATCCTTATGAGAACTGGCGCGGTCCTCTCAAGGAGGCCACATGCGTCGAAGGCACCGCAGGCAGCTGAGCAGCACCCCTGCCAGCAAGCCTGTGAGGGTCTTCCTAGAAAAGGATCCAGACTCGAGGCTCCCAGTCCAAGTACCCCAAGTGTGCAAATGGCAGAACCCCACATGTCTACAAACCATTTCAAGACTGCAAAGCCTAAACCCTAAACAAGGTGAACACCTCGGACTGTGACGCACGACACCCGGCAACGCCAGAGACGGAAGCTGGGGGGGGGGTTGAGCCTCCTGCGCTTTGTTTTGCTAACGGGCCCACTTGCAGGGACAGTTGTGGGTTTTCACGCACCCAAGACACACTATGATTCCCTGCAAAGGGAATGCCCCTGTGGGCGTGGCATTTCCTAATGACTTGCCTTGTAAATGCCTTGGTTTTGCCCGAACGACGGTCCTGTTCATGGCCGAGGTTTTAGGGATGGGGGGCCAATCGTGTTTGCTACGCCTTGGCAAGCCCGGCCTCTGCACAATTCTTGGTCTGGTCTTGGCTTCGTGCGGTTGTTTTCAACATTCTGTTAGGGTCTCTTGTGCGATATGCGACCGATTGCCCACAGATTCTTGCCCTGACGGAAGGCCGACACCTGAAACTGAAGTCACACACACACAGAGTCCGACACCCACCCGGGTCGCAATCTGCGACTTTGGCCTAAGCAAGCCATAGCTTATCCGCTTATCCTATCAAGCCCAAGGTCCGAACCACGCACCCCAAACCGTGCAAAACCGTGCAAACCAGTGCGATCCAGCAGCCGACAAGGAATGTCGCTAGTGCCCGCGAAAACGCAGACCATTGCATCGGGCTCAACGGGTTGGGGCTAAGCCATTGAATGCAATACCATCCTGTGCTATACAGTCCTGAGCTAAACTTTCTGAAGCTAAAAACCCTAACCGCCATCAGAATGTGAAAGTCGCAGTCGATCTTGGCTTAACTGGTCGGTGTTTGAGTCTCCTGTCCAAGCTGAGGCTACGTGGCTCGCTCCTCAAGACTCTAAAAGCAAGCAATGACAACGGACTTGTCCAGAGGGATGCAAACTTCAGATTTGTGGACTTGTTGCTTAGTTTGGGGTCGTTGCTTCAAGTTCTGGGTTTAATTAAGAACAAGACTTGATCTTCGGACCCTGGCCGAGGCTCCAGCCCCTCTCTGGGACCCAGTCTGTCAGAAACGACCAAAATCCACCTCGGGGTCGGCGAAGACTCGAGGAGCAGATCATCAGAACCACACCCTAAACCCTAAACCCTAAACCCTAAACCCTAAACCCACTAAAACACCCGACGATTCACAAAGATTGGAGCTCGGGGTACGAAGGCGCAGGGTCCCGAGCGGAATTGGGGCTCCAAAATCTCCCCTACGGTCGAATCTTCGCAGAGTCTCGTGGCAACACTGAGCAGATTGATCATACCCATGCACAAGCAATGTGGCATCTTACCAGGGATCAGAAGACCGTGCTCAACCTTGCCAATAAATGAGTTGCCTCGAACCGAGGGCGAGGTCCTTTTGATGCACCGAGCTGGTCTGTGCGCACATGCCGCTTGACCCTCCACTACTGAGCTGCGATGTGATTCCCTCCGAGCCTGTGCATCAATTTAAGCCCCAAAGTCATCCTAAAACCCTAAAACCCTAAACCCTAAACCCTAAACCCTAAAGCAGCTCGAAGCCTAAAATCAGCTCCTTAACTGCGCTCAAGCTGATCACCGGGTCGCTGCGACAGAGGCTCGAGCATTGCTTTGAATGAGAGCTGCGGTATTCGCAAGGGGCTTGTGCTGGATCTCAGAGAATTGTCGCGCGTTTCTTTAAAGGTTGGAGCTGTAATAAGTACGGTGTATCCTGGCTTGGGCCCGATGATAATAACGTTCTCGAGGCCAGATGGACTCTGACGAGCCCTCCAATCTGAAAGAGGGCTTCTTTATCCATCAGAAGGGTTTAGGGTTTAGGAAGTTTAGGATTAGGGTTCGGGTTTAGGGTTCAGAGTTCAGGGTTAAGGGTTTAGGGTTTAGGGTTTAGGGTTTAGGGTTTAGGGTTTAGGGGGCCATCTCCTGTGGGTCCATTTGGCCATTTCAGACCTAGTCAAGCTACAGCCCTTCAGCAGCATGTTTCGCAGCTGTAGGCTACCACATCGCCACAAAGAAGGCGGTCGGGCTTGGAGGTTGAGTTGACACTGGGAACAGAACATGGTGGAACTATCAGGACAAAAAAGTGGAAGTTTGGAATCCTTCTCGCCTCGGCCTAGGAGTACTTCCCTGAAGGTCCTCTGCCAGTGTCGGGTTTTGTCGCTTCTCTAGGCTTCGTGAGCTGGTATTGGCATAACCTGGGATGTGATTTGGATTCACCCTATAAGCCCCGATTTGGCCCCCAAATGGCGGCGCGCCTCAATCCGGCTCAGATCTCCCCAAGCCAGGGATGCACCACCGGCGGTTGCGAACTGGATCGATGGTGGTCCGGGGTCGGCTTGAAGAGGCTGCCTAACCTCAGTGGCGCAAAAGAAAAAAAGAGTGACTTCAGCCCACAAAAACATCGGGCCAAAACGCGTGAGTGTGCTTGAGCTTCATCCGATTCATGAACAAGGGGAAGCTATCCAGCGTGGGCAAGTGGAAACAAAATATGCTGGCGTGGGTGTGCACAATCCCATCTTTTGCGACATGTGTGCATAGACATCTGTACGCACCAGAAGGAGCCCGAAACGAATATCATCGGTTGCGGCAGGCTTCAGAATCTTACGAAAGCCCATAAACCACAGGTTCATTGATGCCAGCAAAACAAGCAACTTCACCATGAATCATTCCACTTCCGAAGTTCCTTGCACCCAACAGTCCTCACCACGTGGAACGATAGAGTTCGAGGGCTGACCATACACCACAACTTCCAAACCGAACCGTCGAAAACGCTGTTTCAGCATGCGCGGCAATTTTCTCATGCAAACCACCTAAACCGGCTAAACCCCGAACCTGATTCGCTCTTCGCTCTCCCTTCTTCCTGGAGGCTTCCATGAGCTGCTCCGTCGACTCTGCCGGAGGGGGACTGCGAGCCGATCCTGGGCACTAACTCTGACTTCCTGATGGTGGAGATTCGTCTGGCAGGACTTTCATGTCAAAATCTGTCATGTGAGTCCAGCACATTACCCGCACGCTCCCAACCCCATCGGACACCCTGCCCGCCGGCCCCTTCCATCGAGCCTTTCTCGTCCGTAACGCGAGGGCCCGCTCCTACCGTCATGTTCCTCAAACCCCTCTATTTGGAGACCCCCAAGTGAGCATCATGGACACTAATGGCCAAAGAGGGCTGCTGATGCTTATGGTGCTGGGGTACACGCATGAGCATTACTTGTAGCGGCTTGCTCCCCGTAGGTCCAACTAGAAGAAGCTTGCCGTACCCCCAGCCCAAGCCACCTACGCTCATGAGGAGATCGTCTTATTTTGGGAAGGGGGGCGCGGGCGGGGCCGATGGACAATCGGACAAAAAGATCAGTTGCAAGGCACAGGATCGCGCTCCGCCGAGCTCTCTCGCGAGCGCCGCGCCTGGAACGGCAGGTGCTCGGCTCAGTGGTTTCGAGTTTGGAGAATCGACATCACCAGCAATTGAAACCTTGCACGAATCCAAAACCCGCCGTCTGAAGCCCGAACCCCCCCACGTCTGCACACGACGTGGGTCTGTGCTGAAGCCGGTACAGAGGGCAAACATGACATGCATGTTGAGCGTTGTTTGTCTTTGTGGATATGTTTCATGATCAGAGAGGAACACAAGATTCTGGAAGACGGATGCCTGAGCCCCTGTGGGCTCTCAGGAGAACGTGCGATTCCTGTCGATGGTCATGCCGTGCCCCTTCTAAGCCCGAGCAAGGACCTCCTCCTCGGACATGGGCACGGTGAGGTGGCGCAAGATCGCTGATTTGGCCTGGGTTCGATGGTCGCACGTAAAGGCAAGCTAGCTCTTGCCCCGGCTGCCAGGATGGCGCGGGATCGCTCGGCTACCCGAACCTGCTACGACGTGAGAAATCTAAGGCGCCCGATGCCCAAACCCTACCAAACAACTCCTTTGCAGGTGAAGTTCAGCTTCACATGCACTTTACTCTCTCGGGACCTTGCGCTTGCAAAAACATGTTGTCAGGGTGATCGCGTATTACAGCGTATGCATACATTCTAATTGTTACAAGTAGCTATTGAAGCCTCTTCAAGCCCTTCCCCACCCCTACCACCCCCACCCCTACCACCCCCACCACCCCACCACCATGCACCACCACCCACCACCATCCCCCACCCTTCTGGTCACTCGACTTAGGGGTTGCAACCAAGGCCAGTTGCAAGGTTGGGGTTAGGGTGCACTTTGTGTCCGGCCTGGCCCCGCTCTTGGCGCTTCGCTGCTTGCTCGGGTTGCGATGGCTTCGGGTCAGCCTCCGCCTTGCCAGGGTCGCGTGCATCATGGTGATCTATGTCGAACCCCGGCTACAAAGTTACCTGGGTATATCGACTATCATCCTAACCCCCCCTCCAATTTTGGGAGGTTGAAAGTAAAGATAGTGTAACGCAGATTCTCTGACAGGTTTTCGGATGCCGTTTTGTCCCTTAAGTTTGCCATCTTTGTATATATACATATATATATATATATATATATGTGCGTGCTATTTATGTTTACTTATTTATTTATTTATTTCCATATATATCTTTATATATGTACATGGTACATGTTACTTGTTCATGCATGTTTGTTTGTTGAGACCCATGATAATTGGTTCATGCGTTCATTCTGTAGTTATCATGTTCTACATATACTTCTACATGTGCCTTATATGATGATGATGATGATGATGATGATGATGATGATGACGATGACGATGACGATGACGATGATGATGATGATCATCATCATCATAACAATAATAGTAGTAAAATCATGACAAGCAATGCCCTTGCAAGGCACGATTCTTTGACCCTCCGGGCCTTAGTCTCATGGATCCGACTGGACCGACGTATTGGCCGAAGGGGCTGGGGACGCTCCTGCGAAGGCGGGAGGACGAGGAGATCTTCTTTAACTTCCTTGAGGGTGTTCTTCTTTCGGGGCTTTGTAAGGAACTCAGCAGTCAAGGTTTAGGAGCTCGGTCGTCGGTGGCTGGCGCTTCAAAGCTTGCAAGACGAACAGAGGGAGCTCGGCTGTGGCAAGAAGGATCCCACCAGAGCCGAAACCCTCAGCCATTTTTTGAAATCTCTTCCCCAGCCTTCATCCCTCAATGCCTCCGGTCTGAAACCCCTGCTGGTGCAGGGCCTTGTTTGAACCCGTGCAAGAATCCCCTGATTCCCGCGACCCGGAACGGTACACTGCTACACCTTTCCGCAGCCACGCTCCTCGACGGCTTCTGGGGTTGGGACAGGTATTGCCTGAAAGCTGGCCTGCGCAGAGGGATGCACAGGGATGCAAGCGTTGGGGGTTTAGGCTCTCAAATTGTCAAATTTGGTGGGGAAACGTTGGGGAGAGCAGCGTTACCTTATGTCACAGTTTCAGGCGAGAGGCCCGGCCCATATTGGTGGAGTTGCTATGTACACATCAAAGACGAATGTCACAGCAGAAAGCAGACAGCAAAAGCACAGCAAAAACAACCCATATGAGCACTCCGGGACCGGCAGCTGTCATCGAAGCACTATCGCAGCTAAAGAAGGCTAGCCGGACAGAAAAACATGTGGCACCCCTCTGAGAATCCCAAATTCCTGAAAGGGCTCGAGCCTTGCCATGCAGAACTCTCCACATGTGGACAGCCAGAGCTGCGCAGGTCAGATTCAGCAAGCCGTTCCCAGCCACCAAAGAATGCCAGCGTGAGATGCTGGGATCTTGGCAGAAGAGGAGGTAAGCATCATTGGCTCCACACACGAGGCTGATGAGAATGAACACGATCAACGCGCTGACAAACGTCACGTCCTTTTGGATCCCGCAGCATTCGTTAAACAGCCAGATCTTGCTGAGGCGCTCGTAGCACGCGAAGAAGCTTTCATCCTCCCCTCTCAAGAGGTACAACCCGAGGATTGGCACTGCAGCATCATTCAGCCCACCCCAGACATCCACGAAGAGGAAGCGGAACACAACGAGAGGAACCAGCAGCACCACCAAGGCCTTGAGAGCCAAAGAGCTCCAGCTTAGGTGTTGCCCTGCACGACCCTCCATTTGAGGCATTGACGACATGGCTATTGGCTTTCCCGGAAAACAGGCGGTAAGTCAGTCATGCTCAACTGAACAGTCTTAATGTGCTCGGGAAGGCTGGGTGCAGGTGTCGTATGGGTAAGGGGTGCCCAGAGCCACGGTCGCCAGGCTAAGTGCCAAAACGTCCTGCGCTTGGACTTGGACGTATCATGTGCTCATGTAGCGTCTGAGTGCTTTGGGGAGTTGCACTGCAAGCGGCGCTCCCTTGAGATCCAGATTGCACAGGCAAGTAGACTGCAAAGTCGTTTTGTGAATGTGCTTTCTCCTCAAGGCAACAAACAGCGGCTACAGCATGTCTACTTCCTCCAACACAACAGACAAGAGTCGCAAAATTGTGAGAGCCCTCAATAACAGAGATGTGAAACCTCTTCAATCTTCAACCGCCGGTGGTCCCCTTGCACAGGGAACTCTGACTGGATTCATGATTCAAGCATCTCGAGAGAAAAAACGAGGGCTTCGCCCGACTTCCGTGCACTCATCGCGGTGCCGAAACTTCCCGGCAAGCAAGCGCCTCCGCTGATCTTCTGAAATAAACTCTTTGTGAGTCTTGGGGAAGGGGGGGGATGAACTGCAGCAACAAGACCTCAGGAACTAGGAACTGGCGAGTGAGGTTCCCTCCCCTCCACCACACCAGCAAGGCGACGTGACGCCTTTACAGCTTACTCTCAAGTCCGGAAGCCGAGTTCATCAAACACGCCACCAACCGAACACGAAGAATAATGCTGGTAATAAGCCCCGCGAAGGGTGCATCAACCCAGTGCAGGCCCTTGTGCTCCCGTGTGAAGCCCCCCAACTCCCTGTACCACCTCGCCCTGAACCGCCTGCGGGACGCGGCGCGCGGCTGCAAATCTCCTCTCGAAGTCGGCAGGTCACCTGGGGAAACTCGGTACACCTTGCTCTCGGGGCGGTGTGGCTTTCGGCGTGTTAGGACACCAATTTGCTGTCTAGAGATCCGAAAGGTCTCATTGAAGATGCGAGGGCTGGGGCTCTCGGGAGTTGGAGGCGTTGGCACGCTGGGATTCAGGGGCTCAAAGTTTGGGGCTAGGGCCAGGTTGCTTGTCCTGTGGGCCTGCTGTTTACCCTCTTGCCACTTTGCGTGGATCCCCAATGAGGAGGCAAGACAATGAAGCCTGCAACTATGAGCGTCCAGGGGAAGTGGAGCCCTACATCCTGAAGCCCCACGCAATAGCTTCAGAACTCATGCCTGTTTGGTATTGATTGTTGGCTTTTCCTGGAACAACAGCTCTGCAGTGAAAGCAGTGGCTGTGGCAGCTGCTTGGCTCTCTTGAAGTGAGCAGATTGCACTTCGCTCTTTCAGCAAACGCCCTCTGAGGGCTAGCATCCAGCTGCCGCGAAGAGTTCAGTAACGACCCAACAAGACCGGAGAAGCCACAAGCCGTAATACCTGAGAACACCGAGGCTGCCGCAGCCCTTTCTTCCTCCAGCGCGTGATGCTTTGCCTGCATTGGAGAAGGTCACGAGGAGCAAAGCATAGCCCAGACCGAGGTCAGAAAGCGCAAGACACAAGAACATCGTTCCTTGAGATCTGGGCATGCGTGTGCGGCCTCCCCCCAAAAGATTCCAAGCACCCTGGAAGATCCTTCTCGAAGTCTCCTGAAATTCCTGAACCCTAACCCTCTGCAAAATTCCTTCTGGTGGCGCCTCGAGCACCATCTTCATCTTATGGATTGCGTCTCTTTCCTCTCGGGAACTTCGCGGGATCCTACAAGGGCGTCCTGCGGCATGTATGAAGAGGAACTCTGTATGAATGAGATATGAAGAATAAGACATAAGACTGAAAAAACAACAATGACAGCGACCATGGCAAGAACAAAAACAGACAATAAGCAACAATCAACAAGCACAACAAGGACAAAACATCATATCAATCCCAACAATGATGCTGACATACGGTGTGGAAGTCCACCAGGTACAAATGCATGGGGTTGTCAAGCTTGGCTGTGAATGCTTGGGTTGCTGGCATCAGCACCACACGCACGGCACGTCGGCATCATCGTCATCATCATCATCATCATCATCATCATCATCATCATCATCATCGTCATCGTCGGACCCAAACCCCACAACTTTTCAGGATCTCTCATCCTGACAGTCGCCAAAGCAGGCCAAGAAGTCCGGTGTTCAGGTTCAATGGCCCCTGCCTGCGTAAGGACCTCCCGCTGTGATCGCAGCCACGCCCACCTTAGGAGCGCTTCGCGGCAGAGCCGGGGCTTCTTGGCGATTTGCCGCAGCATGAGCATGAACATGCTATGGCTGCTATGGCTGAGGTCCTGAAGGCGTCCGAGCCCAAAAAAAAAAGCAGCGTGGAACGAGATGCAAGACATAGATCGCCAAGTAGCCCCTTTTTCGCTCAAGCCCCTAGACCCTGGAATCCTAAACCCCCTTCCCTAGCCCGAGCCCAAAAATCCTGAGCCCTTCTCCCTGAGCATTTTGCTCCAGCGCCAGGCGATCTCGTTCGCGTTCGGTCTCTTTCTCTGCTTGGAGCACCTGGAGGGTTTGTAGCGAGGAAGGTACGGGGCTCAGGAATCTGTACGGTCTAGGTTGCCCCAGTTCTGCTTGGGAATACACGGACCCAAAGCCACAACGATTTGCTCGAAACACACACGGGTGGTTGTCAAGCTTATGATCCCTTTTGGGGTACCCTAAATATTAGGTGCCGTATTATACTAGGGATCCAAAAAGGGACCATCATGTTGACAACCACCCACATGCTTCGCAAGAAGTTTGACCCGCGGGCTGCAACCCGCAATGGAGATGCATACTGACAAAAAACAATGCGAATGTAGTTCATGAAGCACCTGGGTCCTTCGGGGACTGGAGTCGACAGGCTTTGCCTACAACAACTGGCGGCTAAAACTCCTACTAGATGCCTTGGCTTCGAAAACCCTCTGACAGTCCAAGACCCTGAAACTCGGGAGAGCAAAACTCAAAGCTCACCTGCCGGCGCTTCTGCTCCAACACTTCCTCGGCCGCTTTGAAGCTCGCGTGGAGCTCCTCGGTCCCAGGACGCCAGGACGGGAGGAGAGGCGCACACCTACATAGCGCTGACACGACCGATGAACTGAATATCTCGAGCAAAAGCAGTTATCTTGTCAAGGCCACTCGAATGCTGTGTCTTGCGTTCGTCATTAATCTGGTGGGCGGATTGAATACACCTTCCCCCTCAGATCTCGCCTCTGGGCGTGGAGGCGTCTGACCAAGATCCTGGGACCCTGGGACCCGACCGAAGCTTCAGTTGTGCTGGCACTGCAAGCCATCATTGCAAATCAAGGCAAACAAGGCTTTAGGGGCCTTCCAACAAGTCTATAAATACGTCTGGGTCCAACGTTTCGGGTTTACAAGTCGGCTTCTCTCTGCCATCCTTTTCCTCGACCCGCAGTTGCTTTCCGTAAGGGGGGCCCGACTGTGTGGACTGGCAGTGGACTGGAAACTCCGAGGTGCACCGCTTGGACCGACGCTTGACGTCCCGTGGCACGGGTTGGGCCCTGGCTAACGAGGCGCACGCAGGCGTTTGCAAAGCGTACAACTCGAGTCCCGAGGCTTTGACGTCCACCATCATGGCGGCGGGGCAGCTCACGGGCGTAGTAGGCGCCGCACTGCTTGCTGAACGCGCTGAACAGATCTGCACTAGTGGCAGCTCCACGAATTCTACACGCCCAGTCCTCTTGGTGTGTGGTCTGCTGTTAAGCTCAGGAGCTACGAAGCCACTACGCGTAGCCTGACCTGCAAGCATAATGACTTTATGATTTGCGCTGATGCGGAACATGCATTTCGGGAGTTGTGACAGTAGGTAATTGTGATGTTGTTTCTGTCCTTACTTGGCAATCTGCTGTTCCAGAGCCAGGAACCGGAGCGATTCCCATCGAACAGACAAAGTCAAGCGTATTGGGTTTCGAAACCAAGTGACAAACTGCGAAGCACTCTGTACGTGCAGCTTTCCATGTCCGGATTCTTACACAATCAGAGATCAAAGGAGCTAAAGAAGTTCTTAACAAGGGCACACAGCCTGAGCGTCTGCATGGATGAAACAATCTCGTCAAACTTTCGTGTTTCGTACGGCTTCATCTTATGGAGCTTCGCCAGCTGGTGCGCCGCCAAACTCTTCCTTGAAGGACCCTTTACGAATCAGCTCTCGCAGGCCACACAAGGCCGCAACCTAACAGGAGGGGGGCATCGCACATTCTCGCCAGTCTTCGCAGATGTCTCCACCTAAGTTCAGACAGGGCTTAGCACACGGGAGTGTCCCTGAGTTGGGCTTGCGCTCAGGACTTAGGATGTATGTTGTCGCAGGTTGCATTTCTGGGCTTCTTCTTGCCAGGCATTTGCGAGTGCCACTCATGTGAGGTGAAAAAAAAGCAATGGAAACACACACGCAAGACTTAGGATTTCGCATCCGGCACAATGCACTTCTCTGCACAAAGCCCACGGCGAAAAGCAGGCCCTTCTCTTCGCACATGGCCTGGCGCAACGATGCCCGTGCCGGCTCGGCACTTGTGCGCCACAAGTGCAGACATGAAGTGCGTTGGAACGTTCCATCGTTTATCGAGTGAAGAGGGTTCGTGTAAACCCCCCCAGTGTTCTAGCGCGCTGCGACGATGCAGCAAGGCCAGGCAAGAAGCTTGAATGTTCAAAAAGCCAAGGCGCAGCCTGCGCTTGAAGCCGATATCGCGAGACTCCGCCAGTGATCATGATGTTGCTGTTGATGATGGTGGCAATGAAAAACCCCCAAGACATCAAACTATAGAATCAAACACATCTCCAGCCTTCATTGCTTGCGGATCGACCGCCTTCGGCTCAACATCACTCCTCAGAGTCTGCAGGGAAACAAGACTTTGCTTTTGGTGGCGAGGGATCGCCCTCAAGAATCACCATGATCAAGACAACAACAGCTGCCTCCCGCTCCCAACAAGCTGACAATCAACCCAGCTCCGCAACCCTGCAACGCAACACCGAACCGCCATGGGTAACCTACTTTCCAAGCCTCGCTCGACCCTACACACCCACTGCCATCCTTCTCTCAGAACTACGCAGCAGACTGTGCAGCAACCCGCAGTAACCCAAAGTATCACGTGCAGCCTTCATCGCGGAAAACATCGGAATATTGCACGAAGCGATCCAGGCTTCATGAAACGACTGGGACGACCTGCTGGCCTGCAAAGAACTCTCTGGGGCTTCAGGTCTACGCGTGGCTCACGAGATACCGCCTAGGCGCCCGGCTTGTTGGCTGCCACAGCCATGCAACATCTAGCCGGACCCTTTGGCAACGGGCTGTGGATCGGGATGGCATTTTGGGTTGATCCCGGCTTTGCTGGGAAACACAGAAAATGCAGGAGGAAACTAGGCAACAAAGCACAGAATGAAAAACAAACTCAGAAGTACATCGCTACAGCGTCTTTTGTGGAGATTGGCACATGGACATGGGAACTCCGATCATCTCTACGATTCCAAACTTTTGAGAGGATAGTCCTTCTAAAGTTGCGATATTGTCATGACTGCGTCTTTGTAGATTCAGTGAAGAGAAAGCGAGCAGCTAACCCTAAACCCTAAACCCTACCTTCCTTGAACGGCGCCCCAAAGCAACTCACCTTCCCTGCCGTCTAAGGCCCAAACTCTGATCTGTGTAGGGTCTAGGGTGTAGGGTCTCGGGTTAGGAGATCGTATCGTGTCCTTCCTTGCCTTCATACCAGACCATGCCCGATTGCACACCAGAATTCACCGTTGGTACAACTCGCTTTGCTCAGCCTTGTTCTGCAACTCTTGGACCCAGTAGTCCACAGAGGCCTGACACCCAGACCCGGCTCAGGGCTGAGGGTTCAGAAGCTCAAGCTGAAAAGGGACGTAGAGAGACCAAAGCTGCTTCTATCAAGTTGTGCCAGAGGACCACTCAAGGTTCACAAGTGCCAGGTGCAGCGCATCCCTCTCGCGCATCACGAGCTTGGCCACCCCGAAGCTGGGACTAAGCAACCCAGACCAGGAACGGTTTTGATCTTGAACCCTGGACCCCCGAATACGCCGGAGCCATGCTTCGTGAGCCTGCGAGTGGGCGTCGGTGCAGTCATAGACGATGACCTTGCATGCTGAGTACCCGAGGTGCTGAGTACCCGAGGGGCCTGCTCTCGCCAATTGAGCGCACTCCCCAAAGACCCCAAAGACCCAAAGACCCTAAAAGCATCTAAAAGCTCTCAGCTCTCGCGGATCTTTCAGGCCATTAGCGACAGCGGCCCTGCAGGCCGAGGGTTCGACATTGGTGCCTTCGAATTCGTGGGGATCTTCCCCGAATTTGCATCCCCGAGCTCTCTGGGCAGTGCAGCCTCCAGCATGTCCTAAAGCTCCTCAGCCTGCTAAAGCCGCCAGGATAAGAAGTACTAACAAGGAATAATACTGAATACAGAAGAAGAATAACCAGGAGCCATAAAGAATCATAAGAATAAGACCAAAGCAGTCATGGACTAAACAGGGGGGATAACGACTCGACTTCAGCTGCGCTGTCCAAGGAAGCTCCAGTTTGCCCTCGCTCCCAAGACCTTGAGCACCAAAATCTTTAAGCGGTGTAAAATCAAGTAATACGGAATAGAAACATGGTGTTCTATAATCTGCTGTATTGCAGTATTATGCTTGATTTTCGGGTTTGCTGATCGTGCGCCTGGGTTGACGGGGGCCAACGACTCAAGCTCTCTGATTCTAGGAAAAGGACGGGAACACCATCAAGAGCAGATCAGAGGACGAGGGGTACATGTACTTGGCCAGACTCGCGCGGAGCGTAGAACCTTCTTTTTGGTGCTCCGGCGTTGGGTTGAAAAAAACTGCTTCACCGGTTCCACAGGCTCCGAGCGGTGATGCCAGCGCGCGCCTTAGGAATCTCGAGACTGGAAGACTCGAAGAGGGGCCGGGCCGTTCTGCCCCTGAAGCTGCAGGTCTTCAACTGCACTGGACGAGCTTACCCATGTCTACCCCTTGAAAGTCTGCCGAAAGCGGGTTCCGGAGGGTCTGGGGGGCTTCCCTGGCAAGGAGAGCCGACCTGAACCCTTGATCAGCGCCCCTTGAGGGTCTGGCATGTCAGCTCGCCGCAGTCACAGTGGCGTTGCGAGTGAGGCTATTACGCCGGTAGGCCTTCTTGCGGCGCATCCTGCGTGTGAGGACGTCAGGGCATCATTCCGATGCTGTTCGGTGCTGATGTCGTAGACTTGTAAACCCTTATCAAAACTGCGACTCGGTTCAGGCACTCTGGGGCCCTTTGGTCGGAGAGGCTCGGGAGCAGAGTCTTGCCCAATGCAATCTCATCCGCAGTGGAGGAAGAGAAGGTTCTCTGTTTATGCCGTCGCATAGAATCCACATTTAGTTTTGGGCTCAGCAAAGCTGCAACTCGCAGCATGACTTCAAGACTTGAGTTTGGGGGGGGGGTTCAGGATTTAGGCTCCCTCCTGCAGCAGCAACAGGATGTACAAGCGTGCAGGCCTGCCCAACACAGAAAAGCCCAAAACCCTCAGACTCAGTATCCTTACGAGCCCTAAGCCACGCAACCTCAAAGATGCGGAACCCCTTCCAGACCGGCACACGACACTGACGCCACCACCTCGAACGAGCCGTCTTGTACGATTCCAAGGACTGCCGCTGCCGATGCCTTTGTTTTGGGTTTAGGGCACGAACCGGAGCAGACTGCGGTGTTTGGATGCAGGATCTTGCTTTGCTTCTGTTCGCAATGTCTCAAAGCCTGTGACAATGGCGTCGCGGTCGATCTCGAGTCTTCCCAGTTTCTATCCTCACCATAGGAAATATCTGCGACCTCTCAAAGAACAAGCGGCTGCTCCGCCCGAGCCATCTCCGCCTCCCGCGTCGCCTTGCAGCACAAGCTTGCAAGGCCCTGTTCACATCCCGCGCTGTGTGGATGCATCCTCTGAGCACAGCTTGGAGACTTCCAGCACCGTGGTTCAAGGCTTAGGTGTGAGCAAGTTTCACGCGTTGATGCTGCACAGGCTACTTTGGCAGGGAACATTGGGGGCACGCAGAGATCCTCGAGCCTCGGGGGTTTTTGGGGCCCTCTGGGGAGGCGAGTACGAAGAGATGGGAGCAAAGGCCTCGGCAGCGTGATCTTCCGCCATCCTCAGATTGCCAGGTTCACATGCTCGCTAACAAAACGCCCTCCCCAACAACAAAGACTTGCGTTTCATGACGAGACATGGAGGGGCTCTCTGCGGGTGAGTCTGTGCTGTTGGATGTTTGCGGGTCTCTTCAATGTTTCCCCTGTCCCCCAGAACACCTCCTCGCCCTGAAAGCACCAAGCCGCGATTTGCCGGCAAATCCCCCATCCTCCCACACTCTCGCCCCTGTTGCTGTGGGCACCCTTTAACTCGAAAGAACCCTTTTACAAACCCTCAATAAGACAGTCTAAGAAACACTCAACAACTCCCGAGAAGAACCCTTGTAAAACCTTTCTATATGTATCTACAAGGGTGCATGCGTACTGCCTGCCAACGCAAATTCCATACCGAAACGCCCCAGAGACTGCCCGGAACAGGCGCACGGGACATCAAAATCCTCATAAAGCTCATGAAAGAACCGAAACCACTACCCCCGAGGTCTTGTCCTGCCAAGCAAAGTTCAAACTTGTCAATGTACGCAAAGGCAATATACAAATCCCCAAACCGCCCCCTGCACACCCCTTGCCACTCGAGGTGGAAGAAGGCCGAGAATGCTTGGGGTCTTTAGGGACCTCGAGGTTTGGACTCAGAGCTTTAAAGCTCCAGAGAGAAAAGGGACCCCTAATATACACCCCCATAGCAGGATCCTCTTCTAGTAAGGACCCCAATAAGGTACCCCATAAACCCCCAAATTCAGCCTATTGAAGGACTGCATAATCATCCGAGCAGCCGCTCTCCAGCGGCAATGTGCTGCAGCAGCAGCTCTCGCTTTTCCTTGAGATCCCCAGCTTTGCTTTGGGGGCTGGGCTTGGGTTGTGCAGGTTTGCTGCTTGCAGTCGGGATGTCAGATCGAACATTCAGCTCCGGTGGCTTGGCGTTGGCGCTTGCGCGAAGAAAAGGCGTGACTGACGTCCTTGCAGTCTCCATCTTGTAAGCCGAGCTACGCTCTTTGCAAGTGGGAAGTCCCAGGCCCGACCGGTGTCGAGCGACCTCCAGCAAGGTGGTGAGGTTTCGGGCCGTTTCGCCTTCCTTAAATCTCGGTTCTGTGGTTTTGGAGGGCACTTGATGTGCCAGGAGTTCGGGGGTCACAGGGAATGCAATCGTGATGAGAAACTGAAGGAAGGCAAGAAAAGTGCTGAGGCAAGGGCCTCTGTTCCCTGGTCATATGCTGCTCGTGGCTCCTGCAGGGTAGGAGGAGGCCATGGTTATGCTGCTATGCGACTATGGTGGGCCCCAAGGTGCCGCGCGCCTGTCCGGAACACTGAGGCGGTGCATGCTCGGGCGCTGCCCCAGCCAGGCTCGGAAGTCGGCAGTCTCAGGGGCTCACACTGTTGGGGGCTTGCGGGCTTGAACTCGGTCCTACCCTTGAACCACGCGGACCCCGCAATTGCCTGCACACCGTCGCTCTCGCTGCTGTCCGCCTCCGAGACGCTTCCCTCACAGACCTCAGCGCAGATGAGAGCATTCTGAGCACCCTGAGGTGCAGGAGGTCGCGCCTCAAGAAGTGCAATCCGCAACGGCCGAAGAGAGCAGCCCAGAGCAATAGTTTGGCCCGGCTTAGCTTCTCTTGAAGGGCTGTGTACTTTGAGCAACCTCTCAACGAATGCCACCCCCGCCCCCGGATAGGGTTGGACACTCTTGGGATTGTCTGCGGGACTCCACGAGCTCTCTGCGGCATACTCTGCCGGCTCTTCCGAGGGCGGGCACTCCCAGCTCCGGTTACTCTGCGGCTGGCTTCTATACTGAACTTTAAGCAATGACTGAAGCGCAAATTCTTCTGAGTCTGAGCCTTTCATGAACTTGCAAGAGCCCGAGGCCTTCAAGTCATGAGGAATCCAGCCACCTGAACCTAATGAAGCGCCGAGACCATCCAAATGATCTGCCCAGGGGCCGGCAACGTTGTCGCTGGGCGAGTGCCTTCGCTACAATTGTCCAGCACTTCAAAGCAAGAGGACTTTGAGGCAAGAAGCTGGAAACCTATATCCAACAGCTCCAGAAGCACGCCAGTCCCTGCACTTACTGTAAGCCCCACCCCCCAGGTCTGCTCTTTCGGCTCGCTTCGTCGCCTCGTCTTGCGCAGCCGCCCCCGGACCGTCGCGGCGCCGGGGCCCGCGCGCGGGAGCCCCGGGCACGGGCGGGAGTTGGGGCCTGTTACAAGCCCGAAAGACCCCGATAATCATGGAGCTCCAGAGCCTTGAAATCTGCACAAGCTCTTAGAGATCCTAGACCAACATTGAATATTCCATCAACCTGTGGACATTGTTCAAGACCTACCCGCAGCTGCCAAGTGCCTGCTGCACTGCGTGCGAGCGCTCGCCTCATGCCAAGGGATCAACAGGCCACGCATTTTGGGGTGGAATGGGGATCAGCATTAAGGATCAAGGGTGCTAAGGGTTTGCAGTGCCCTAGAGTCCCCCATCGTGGAAAAGAAGGCATGAGAGGTCTTCCTCATCCTCGCCACCCCCCTCTCCAATGAAACCGCGGCTGTGACGGGTCAAGCTAACGGTGACCTTTCCGCACGTCAGCAGCTTAGGCCGAAGGCTAAAGAGTGCGTGGCCGAGCCGGACCGGCCCTCACAATTCGATAACCCCAAACCACCCACCCTGCTCATGTTCCGTTGAAGATGATGTGAGAGGGTTTGCTTCAGTAGGGGGTTTAGGCTCTCGAGCTGGCCGAGTTTCGGGCCCTAGCTTCCGGGTTCAGATCTTGTGGATGCTGGATGCTGCCCTGTGATGGGGTTGTTGGCTGCGGTTACCGGACGCGCGAATCCTGCAAAAACAACCACTCCAACAGGACCTCGGGACCTCTCGAAAGGGCAGCGCGTGGTGAGCGGGTACTACTACATCTGCGAATCTACGACCTGCATCTACCCTGAGGAGGCCACCGCCCTGGGCCGGCACAGCTTCGGCCAGCTCGCTACAAGCTGGCCCGGCCATCGGCCTGCGCTCAAAGCTGGGGCCCCGAGGGGACTTAGTCTTCGTGTCTAGGGCAGGACAGCACCTTTGTGAGATGTTTTGGGTGGAAGGGATAGAGTTCGAGAGAAGGGCTGACACTTGTGCAGTCCCTCTCAATGCGCGGCCCCCCAGCAGAAGCAAACTACATGGTGCGCGGCGTGTTCACGCCCCTACAACAGGAAGCATGTTCTGGGGAAGGGGGGTTCAGGAAACACTGGCAGGCGTGGGTTATTCATGAAGTAGAGTCATTTTGGTGATTTGGAGGAGGGCCCTCTCACACTACTGGGAAGTTTTGTAAGATAGGAGTTCGATGGCAGCAACAGGATTATGATGGCAGGGAGGCTTGCGGAGGGGCATGTCCGGAAGTCATCAGGGCAGTGGCTTTTGTTTGTCGGTGGCTGCAAGCGTTCCCCCTGCTTGCGAAACCTGGAGCTCATGTGCCGGAGCACAGATTCAGGTGCCGGGCCACATTCTTGCACAGTGTGTTGTACAAAGAAGCGAAAACGCGGTAAATACCAGTGTTTTGTGAATCGTCGCAACTGGCATGGACGCTGGTGACAACGTGTCCTGTTCCAGATCCTTGCACAGTGTGTTGTACAAAGAAGCGAAAACGCGGTAAATACCAGTGTTCTGTGCATCGTCGCAACTGGCATGGACGCTTGTGACAACGTGTCCTGTTCCACATTCTTGCACAGTGTGTTGTACAAAGAAGCGAAAACGCGGTAAATACCAGTGTTTTGTGCATCGTCGCAACTGGCATGGACGCTTGTGACAACGTGTCCTGTTCCACATTCTTGCACAGTGTGTTGTACAAAGAAGCGAAAACGCGGTAAATACCAGTGTTTTGTGCATGGACGCAACACGAATGACGTTCTTATCCCCCCCCCCCCCCCACCCCCCCCCCCACTCCCCCCCCCACCCCCCCCCCCAAACCAGCAAGGAAAGAGGAAATGCCTGAGCAAGTGCTGGAAAACGTAGGGGCGGGAACGCGCCGCGTTCCAACTACATGGTCCACGGCGCGTACACGGCCGTGGCTGTTCAGAGACATGCTCAGATCGAGGGGATGTGCACGGCGTATTGGTTTTTACCATCTATTCGTCCTTCAGCTGTAAAGAAACCCAAACCAATGTGTTTAAAATCCCGCGAAAACTACTTGGGAATTCGCACAAGATTCATACTTATGTGCTTCATGACTCATGTGTGAGTGCGAAAAGATCAAGAACCTGAAGGTTTTCTTTCAGCAGGTCGCTAAACTCAGAATCACAAATCGCTGTAAATACCAGTGCTTTGGGCATGGTCGCCAAAAGCATGGACGCTTGCGACAGCGTGTCTTGTTCTACATCCTTGCGCAGTATGTTGTACAAAGTGATGAAAACGCTGTAAATGCCAGTGTTTTGGGCATGTTCACCAAAGGCATGGACGCTGGCGACAATGTGTCTTGTTCCACATCCTTGCGCAGTATGTTGTACAAAGGGATGAAAACGCTGTAAATGCCAGGGTTTTGGGCATAGGCGCAAGATGAATGACGTTCTTATCCCCCCCCCTCCCCCCCTCCCCCCCCCCCTTAAACCACAGATAAGCCCCAAAAAATGGACTTGAACCCACGGCCGTGTACGTGCCGTGCTCCAACTACATAAGGGGGCACCCACAACGCTCTCTGGCCTGACCCCCTCCCTGCGTCCAGCCGGCACGGATCGCGACCGCGCCTTGGCCTCGCGCTGTGGGGGTCTTGGGGTTTTGGGGCGAGTTTTTGCTTTTGGGGGTGTTTGGTGCCTGGGGGTATAGAAGCGCTTGATGCGGAAACAGGTGGCGTCTGCTTCTTGTGGGCCGATGGGGTGGCCGTTTGGGCACCGAAGCTGAGGGCTCCAGTCCTTCAAGGTGCCTAAGAGCAATGACGGGGGCCACTAACTAGGGGTGTAACTTGGATGTTTCCTTCTCCTACACACTGATTCTGACTCTGCAGCGAAAGACAACATGACAACATGAAACACACATGATGGGGGCACTTCCTGGTACTCACAGCAATTCCTGCTCTGGCTGCAGCCTTTTCTGAACTTGCACGCCCTCGTGACAGGCAACGCAGGACCAAGAGGTACAAAGACGCACAGACTTCCGCCTCTGCTCTTTCGAGTTGTGCCCAGTCGAACCAATAGTCGTTGACGTCGCTGTAGTCCATGGAGTCATCCTCTTCCATGCCTCGAAACCCCTCAAAGCACGAAGGGCCAAGCATCAACGCGCTCAGCTTCACAGCCGACCACACACGGCGAGCTACAGTGCCATACAGATGCGCCTAGTTCCTGGCCACTGCATGCAGCGTCCGGATGGAACCGGGCGCGTTGTCGAACGCAGCCTTGCACCCAGCGCGCACTTTTCCATGATCGTCTTTGCGAAAAGCAATGACACAGAACCGACCCTAGTCCTACAAGCCTGCCTGGCCCCTGCGTCGCCCGCTCTGCCCGCTGCGCGGACTGCATCATGGCGCTGACTGTGGGCATTCTGCATCTATTTTTTGCGTAGCTCTGTCGGGTAGCGGCTTGGGGCCTTAGTTTTTGCTATGTCTGGAGGGGCTGCGTAGGCCTGAGCAAACCCATGCCATGACTGCTCGGCTCAGCGTTTGCGGCTTTGCATCGCAGGGGCATGTTTCGGTGTGGTGCTTTCATGTGCTTTCAGGCTTTCAGGGATTTGCAGGCCGCGCCATGAACATGTCATCATGTCCCCAGCTATCGAGGCTCAAAGCAGCTGCGGCGACTCCAGACGTGAGGCTGGTAAGTCACAATCCGGGCTAGAGTCGGTTAGAGCTTTCAGGGTCCAGAATCTGCGGCACAGCGCGGCATCTCCCTGCGCTTCGTGAGGCAAGCCCCAGTCTGAACTCCAATGCTGCCGTGCCACGGCACCGGCCGCGTCTCGGTAGTATAAGTGGGTCATGGCACGGAATCTCTCCTGCAAGGTGGGCCGTGAGAAGACTCGGCTACAGGCGAAGAGAGGAACGGAGCACATGGTTTTGCAGGAGATTGCCAGACGTGCTGCTTTGGAAGGAAAGCCCCCAAAGTTCTGCCCAGAAGCCGCCTTAAGGGAAACCTCGCAATGCCTGGGTTTCAAGTTTGGGTTACACCTCTTTGGAATCCTAGCCTGACATTTCTTCGGGGCCTACAGCGCGCTCTCTGCCGGCTTCAGGGAACACTTCAGCCCGAGATGATCTAGAAACATTCTTAGTTGGATTTCTTGCAAGGATTGTATGGTCAGAAGCAAGGATCGAACGTGCTCGCTGCTTGGAGTCTTACAGGAAGTACTTGAGCGAGTACCATAGACTTCCGTGAATTTCACCCCCGAGTTCACCGAGCATTTGCCTCTCTAAAACCCTCAGCTGGCTCGAACCCCGGAGTGGTTCCCAGCGCCCCAGTGCCCCACCCAGTGCCCCGGAGTCTGGGTCCTGTCCCCCAGTGTCCCAAACGTGGAGTTTGAGCTGGCTTCCGTCTCCTGAGAAAGGGCTTCGTGTCTTGTTTCAGATCATGTCGGAAGGGCCCGGCCATCAACCCAACAACAGAACAATTCTAGCAAGAAGCCTCCGAGAGCGGTCAGCACTCAGCGCGAAGTGTAACGCAGCGGCATGGCTGCACGGCTTTCTGTGTCCGACGGTACACCAGGGTTCCGGCTCAGCCGGACGATCTGCTGCAAGAAGGCGGCCCCGATCGTGACCTCCAGACTGGGCTCAGGGTTTAACGGTTTAGGGTTGGGGATGTTCCCACTTATACTAACAATCCTTGCTAGGGGTTCTAGTACCCCCTAGTTTAGGGTTTAGATTTTGGGGGGAATGGGGAGCATGTGCGGCATGTGAAGGGATGTGAAGTGGCAGGGGGCTCGGACAGTTCTGCTCAGCTAGTTTCGTGGTACATGGCCAGCCAAAGCCTGAAACCTGCAGAGAACCTCACCCCCGCAGCAGGACCCAACGGAAGCCCCTCATAATAAAACTTTAAGCCCCGTGGCTCCCAGAAGCCTCTCCAACCCTTCAAACACTTGGAACAAGATTACCCTGAATTACCCCGGAGCCCTAAAAACCTGAAGGCCTAAGCTCGAGAAACCTCCAAGATTTCCCCCCCCCCCCTAGCCCCAAACCCGCAAACCCTGAACCCTAAACCTCGTGGTAGGGGTTGAAGCGGCCCTGACAGAAGCGGAGCGCGAGGGAAGATTTGCCCTGGCATGGGCGCCGGTCTCTGATTTGCGTGAACTGGGCCTAATGGCCTAATCTTTCTTATAAGGGCAACAGCTAAATCTAGCGGCCAATGCAACAAATGGGCAAAGGTCCGTGTAGCCACTTGTCTCTTCGGGTTGAGAAAATCTTATGTGCAGTATGTGCAGGGCATCACAAAACCTGTCAAGCCCTGCATCAAGCATTTTGACAGCAGGTCACTCACCGACATCATGAGCTTCGAAGGCCAAAGTACCACATGCTACCAGTAGTGTAATTCTGGTCATGCACGTCACCACTCTCAATACTCAAAATCCAGCAACCTGCAGCATGAGACCAGAAACTCCCAACTCTTAGCGACTAGCGACTCCTAGGATTCTACATCCTTGTGGTTCAACTTGCCGCAGCGTGCCACACCCGAATCGCCCAACAAGACGATCTTGGCCTGCCGGGTAGAGTTGGGCTCGTGGGTCTCTCCGGGCTCTACAAGAGGTGCAGGCACAGCAGGACACAGCAGGACACCCACAAACACGCTCCAATTCTGTTTGGAATCCTGCCCTGGAAGGCTTTGAAGCAGGCCCCTGACTTCTCCTTCACACCTGCCAACCTCTCTCTGCGAAGTGAGCCTCAATGGTGCTCCGCACGGCCCCGGACTGCGCGTCCTGCACATTCAGCCCAACCTGTCCTGCAGCGAGCTGGCTTGAAGAGGGTGCTGGTTTGTTTTTGTTAAGACGAGGTCTGGGCCCATCAGTTTTTCAGAAGTGGTTCTGAGGTTGCTCTGCGTGCTGTGCACTTCGGTGTGATTCCTAAGAAGATTGAGCTTGGCTTCTCTCTCAAACCAAACTGCAAGCAACCTCGCTGGCCAACATGCTCCGTGCCCAATTCACTACCCAAAGATCAGGAAAACAGTATGTTCTCATGTTTCGTAGGCTTAAATGGCCTCCCCCTGGCCCTGCAGGCCACGGTTTCACGCCCCGACGTTGGGGTTTGGGGATGCGGCGGCTTCTGAAGCTTCTTCACTCTCTGCACCCTCGGCCCCGGCTTTGGGGGCTGGGGGGGGGGGGGAAATGCGGCAAACGGGTTTCGTCTTGAAAGGAAATATACAAAAAGAGAGCAGTCCCCCCCCGCCTTGACTGCCCGGCTTCGCGCCGGCACAGCCCATGGCTTGGCCCTGGCAGAGGGTTTTCAGGGATTGGTGGGGTTTTGCTTTGTTGTTGCCCCTAAAGAGACCGCAGTGAAGTTGAGTCCATCCGACACAAGCCTTCTACAGTTTATAAGGCTGAGGAAACCTGCAAAGGCCCGACTCAAAGCCGTCAGCAGCAATGAATGTGCGGGCCGCTTGAAGGGATGGATTCGGGGCCTCAAGGCCAAATGGCTTAGCTTCGGAGGATCCAGGACTTTCCAGGACCAAATGCTTGAACCGCTGCACTCCTTGACTACTCCCTGCCACAAAAACTCTGTTGCCAGTTGAACTGTACTCGCAGTGTTCCGAGACGAATTTAGGTCGCTGCTGACGAAGGACCTAGCACCAAGCAGCCCCGCCTGTCTCAGCGCCCCCCTTTAGGTGGGACAATGAACTGGCTTGGGCCGAGAGCGGAGGACGTGTCCAGAACTGTGCCCATGGTGTCATGAGGATTGGTGCTTGTGCAAAAGCTTCCCATCACGTGCTGCTGCAATCAGAATACAGAAAGGGATCGAAGTACACCTTGGTGCAGTTGCGAGATGAAGTCTTCTGTTTTGCAGTAACACGCCTTGTCAGCTGCTACCGACATATGCCCCTGGGTCTCTCGCATGCACTGCAGGGTTTTGACGATGCTTCATAAAGCAAGATGGTCGTCGGCTCAAGGTCCCTGATTCAGGGTCCTCAAACAGAACCCACTGCGGTGAGACTTTGCTCTCCCAGCACAAGCTAGCCGTTCACAGCCTTGCGGGAGAAAAATGTCGGTTTATGTCGGTTTCATGTGATGGGCTTCAGCTGCGTTCACGTTGCGACTTTATCCCAAGCCCCGCTGTCGGCACCTGCTTGATCTTCTCCTCGAGGCTCTTCATGTTGTCACGGACCTCTGCTGGCTTGGGGCTATGCCGGCTATGCGTGTCGGTTCAGGCCTGCTGGCAAAGGCTTCAAAACTCCCTGGTCTGTATCGTGAAATTCGGGGGTTGTATCGGGGTTAAAGCATCTTGCTGGCACACGTCTCTACGTTGTTTGGGGCTGGGGGGGGGGGGGTGCTGCGGGTATGAATCTCGCTGAAAAGTTTGAGCTCAAAAGCCTCGACTGGGACGCTCAACGTCATCAATCCACTGCTTCTCGCACTGTTCGCGTGCATGTTTACCCGTTCATGCAGAAGTTCCTGGCTTCTTAAAAGGTCTTTCTCTGGCATCCTCATTTCCCCCACTCAAGTCAGGTCGAAGGGCAATCGACATGTTCTCCTTGAGCCCGGTGTTCAGATCCTGCCGGCCCAAGGCAGATGAGTTGCAAGCAAATCTGAGTTGGGGCTCGGGCATCCAAGCTTTGGAAGTGAGCCACGAATCCCGTGCTACTAGTACAATCGCTGCTGCTACTTGATATTATGTGTGTATTTGTATACATATATATATATATATTCATTTATTTATGTATTTATGCATTTGTTTATTATGATTTTTGCTTTTCTGCTATGTATTTATGGATTTACTTAGCTATAGATATACATGTATAATTCAACACTTCCAGATCTCTAAATGCTCAACTGCAAAACACAATTCGAACCCTGCGCGCAAATCCCCAGCCGGCATGCTGCCTGTACCGCTTCGGTCGTCGTCTCGAGCAGCTTGGAAAGCTCCTCCTGGTGGCGCATGCGCGAGTGCGGACCCCGAATCCGCAAGAAGCAGTGCTGGAGCTGTGACGCCACTCGCGACGCAGGTTCTCCAATTTATGTCTTGTGTTGTTATCTGCCTTCCGTCTGTTCAAGGCAACACAATCACAACACGTATTGCTTATGGCTTACGTCGAGCATCCCCACGAACTAACTTTTTGGCATTCCGGGGAGCAGCATTCTCTGGGGGGGCTGGCGCTCCACAGGGCGACAGCGCGTTGCTGGTCACACCAAAGCTGTTAGCTGCGGAATTGGTTGCGGGATTCGCTGGGAGTGGGGACCCCAGGCGCTCTGCAGAATTCTCTGAGAAAAGAGATAGCTGGGTCAACATCCAACAACCCCACGCCGATTCCAACACCAGGCTCAACTCACTAGTCTTGAGCTCTAAGGGACTTGCAAACCCTTCTTCGTCTGAAGCCCCCCGTGGCTCTTTAAGGAGTGTACCCTTCACTGCCTGCTGCTTCTCGAGCGCCGCCAAGCGCGATGCGAAAGAAGCGCTCTGCAGGTGAAGTGCCTCTCTGGCGGTTGATATACCGGATCTCCTAGATCTTCTAGATGATTCTACAGGTCTAGGGCTGCAGAGGTTTGTCAAGTGGCCACGTGCAGTGGCCTTTTGGGGGGGGATTCAAGTCCTTTGCCTTTGGGCTGTCCACGGCCTAGACCCACCTAATCCCGAAACCGTCAGTGGCATCATCTGCCTTGGCCATTGAGCCCTTCGAGAGTCGAGGATCGATTGTTGCTTTACTGCATCTTAACGAAGATGTGGGAGCTGCCATGGATACAGCGACCCTCATGGAAGCTGTTGGCAGCAGTAATTCTGGGAATTTGAGGCGTATTCGAGGCATCCCTTGACGATGTCACTGAATTCATAAGGGATGGACAAACAACACTAAACAACGCGCTCCACCTTGCTGTTCACGCGCGCCGAAGCAAGCATGAAGCAGGAGAGACATCAGTTCTACGTGGCAGGCGCAGTACTTTGAGGCCTTGTGACTTTGATAATTCAGGACGGTCGATGCACGGAAACCATCAGATTGTTGGCTAGAAACACGCTGCGGCTTGGGTTTCGGAGACATGCAGGCGGTTAAGTACAGCTGTTTGCGGCGCAAGCTGCTGCGCACATTCTTTGCATGCTACGTACTCACAGTTTGAGCCAGTCCTTGTCCTTTGCAGGGCTGAAAAAGTCTTGTGGCCCATGGCCTAGCTCATGCACACGGTCCTTTCTGTACAGAGCCTAGCCAGGATTCCGTCGAAGACGTTGTGTGGCCAAGACAGCACTGTCGATCATCTTTCGTGCGGACATGCATGCTCTGGTAACACGGACGTTATCATCGTGCGGACATGCATGCTTTGGTAACACGGACGTTATCATCGCGCGGACATGCATGCTCTGGTAACACGGACGTTATCATGGCGCGGACATGCATGCGCTGGTGACATGGACGTTATCATCGGGCGGACATGCATGCTCTGGTAAAACAACGGCAGGCGCGACGTTTTCGACTGCAAAGTCCCGGAAACACCGTAAATACCGATGCATTCGATGCCTCCACGCCCGCGCCGCCACCACCCCTCGAAAAACACGACAGGCGCGACATTTTCAGTTGAAATGTCCACCAAACACCGAAAATACCGACGTGGTCGGCATGTGCGCGGCGCGCGTGAACAGCACGGTGGTGCCCCCTAAACAAAGGACTAACAACGAGGCATCACACCGAGAATGCAATATTCGCCGTCGGCCTAAAACGGACGAACAGGCCCTCTGGCCAGAGGCCAGAAAAACCCCGACCGTTTACCTTAAGCTCAAAGGGCTACGTTTAGGGTTTCAGGTTTAGGGTTATGTAAGTTATGTAGTGACAAAAAGAAATTTCAACCGCGGACACACAAACAAAAGCTCATCCTCGCACATGCCTGCAGGGACTGCAAGCGGGCAACGATCTGGGGCAGCGAGGCAGCCTGGATTTGGCTTCATAACTTGAAGCCTCGCACAAATGCTTTGGGCTTTCGATTGTGAGTTCGCACCTTTGGCTCAGAGTGCACGCAGGGCTCAAGATCCCCAAGCAAAAGAATTCCCTTTGACGTCGGAACAAAGCCTTAGTCTTTCCCAAGGGTTGTGAACACGACGATAGCGCGTATATCGAGGAGCTAACCTCCAACATCTGGATGCTGCGGGACTTTAACTCACCCAAAAAACAGATCTCAGCTCCGAGCAGTGGCACTCCATCTATGGCAGAAGTCGTACAGCTGGCTGACCTCTTGTAGAGCCCTGTGGTTGTAGAGCCGTTTTGCAACACAGGGAGCTCAGATTGTTCTCCCAACGCGATTCGGGTGGCTTCAGAAAGGGCCTTGTGGTCAAGGTCCCTGTCCACCGTCCCCTCAAGCTGCGCCTGCTCGGATCTTCGGGGTGGGTTCCCTGAGCCCTTTGGAAGCCTTTAGTGATGGGGCCCTCAGGGCCACGATTCATGGGTTGAGGCTTTACGGGTAGAAGATGGTAGAAGGTGAAGGTATTGTTGCAGCTGCTGCCTTCTTGGCCAGGACTTGCTCCACTTCCCTCGCCACCTCGGCCATCAGGATACTCTCATCACTACCTTCTCGAGCCTCCCCGAACTACAGGATCTACAACAATGGCTCGGTCTAGGCAATGTACCGTCCGACCCAAACTGGCTCAGATCTTCAAAGCATGGGCATCAGGGTACCAAACTGGCAAGAACACAAGATTCCTTGGCTGCCCGAGGTCCATCGCAAGTACCTCAGCCGAAACCTCCAAGCCAAACTACTCCAAGCATCCCCCGAGAGCTCAAATCCTTTCGCGTCCGAACTCTGCCCGCGCCTTGTCCACACCCTTTGTGATGGCCTCCAGCTTCGGAGCATCCTCTGCTGGGATGCGGTTTGCATGTTCTGGAACGAAACCTGAAGAGTTTTCGAGGCTCGAAGCGCTTTCCGGCATTGAGGCTTTGTTCTGTGAGCATTGGGGGGGGGGGTCAGGGTTTGTACGCCCGGTCCAGGAGCGCGAGGCGCTTCTGCAGCTGCGTGACGGCGGTCTGCAAGTCCTCGGGTCGGGCGTGCTTGGGCAGGATCCGTCGGGGCCGTCAAGGGCTTGACGCCTCCAACGTCTTCAGGGCCCTGCATTCGGATCCCACGGTAGAGGGCATTGGCTTTCCGTGGAGACGGGGCCACCGGAAGCTTCAGTCTACCGGCCTAACTCGTTAGACAGGTCTCCACACATGGGGCCCCCGACTGGGAAGTGGCTAATGGGCTCCAGTACCCCGAGCTGCTTCTCAATGTCCTGGATCGGCTCCAGGGAGGCTTGCTTTGTAGGATTTTTTAAAGGCCATTCCATGGGTTCAGGGCTTTTAGGGTGGGATCGGTTCCCAAATACATGAAGACAGTCTGAAGACAGCATGACCCTGCGGTCCGATATGCTGCTCTCCATCGCTGCGAGTTTCGCCTGGCTGTGGCGCTCGACGCTGTTGTGGCTTGCATCAGTGCTATTTATGTGGCTTTCCCTCAGTATTGTTGCGCACTTTGTCTTTGTCAAGCCATTGCTCTCAAGCCGAAGGTACCCAAAAACCGAATCTATCCGAATGAGCCGGTCGCAAGACAGCATGGCGACTTGGGCTTTGTGCACAGCAGAGTGTGCTCCCAGCTTGCACAACGATGTGCAATGCAGCTGCTCTGGCTGTACTGATTGCACAGGATGAGACCGAGAACCCTAGGCCCTGCTAGGCCCGCTGGGCCCCTCGCGCCATCGCCAATGCTCGCGGCGCTGGGTGTGTAGTTGATCTGGTAGGTCACCTGCCTCTCCATCCCGAAAACGCCCGCGCAAAAACCCAAACCCAAAAGGCAACAAAGTTAATGCAAATTAACGTCTAATGAAGCTGTATACTCTTTGTCATCGCCGTTCGTTTCACATGCGATGGGATTGAGCAGTTTCTGTGAGTCAACGCAGGTTTGGTCTTTGTTTGCTTTTGACTGTCAGCTTATGATATTTCTTGCTTGGCTTGGAAGTAGTCCAAACAAAGCGTCATGCCTATAAGAAAGCAGGGGTACCTGCAAAATTCGATTGCGCAACTGTTCAGGTCCCTACTCATCTGAAGAATCTTCCTCTTGAGGGGCGTGAAATGGAGGCAAGAGTCCGGGATGCTTCCTTGATGCGAACATAGGAAAAGACATCCCACAGGTGGCTTTCTCTTTCACTGCATGCACGGTGTTGGGCCAACTCCAACTCTCCAAATGGGTCGCACCACGGCGTGTCAAAGTACCTGGGTGCTTGGTCCTGTTGTCCTCGCACCCTCCATATGCCATGTGAATTTCTCAACCACTTGTTGGCGATCTTGAGGCAATCCTCCTTCCGAACAGCACCCGGTCCAATCACCTTCTTCTTGGAGGCAGGAGAGGGAAAAAAAACGGAACCCACGGTTCCCACCGGTTTCGGAAGGTCGTTGGCCTCTGCGGAATGAGTCCTCTTGTCGCTCTGTTGCCCAACTTCATCTCTGCTCCACACAGCTTCTCCTGACCTGGCCTTCATGGATCAAGTCCAAGACCACATGAACCTTCAATCTTCAACCCAGTCCAGAAGACATGAATCGGAACGACAACTTAGCTGACGACTAGCTGAAAGGGGGGGTAGGCACCTGATATCTATATTTCTCTGTTCTCAATCATAATACCTAGAAGGTTGACCTCGAATCAAACTGAACTACCTGGCTCAAATCGACCCCATACACAAAGGGCTCAGGGTTTGGGCTTGGGAAGGACAATGTAGCCTTTGGGCTTGGAGGAAGTGTAGGCCGAGGGGCCTCAATCACAGTCTGCCGAAGCCCCTTAAGCCTTCAAGCTGCCAAGCCCAGCCCGGAGGGCGCACCCCTCACCGGCGGACGGCCCTGGCTGCCCTGAAGCTAGCCGGTCCAGCTGGCCAATGAGTGACCTGAGGCACCAGGGCTGAGCTTCCGAGTCTACAAGTCTGGTGCACAGCACCAGGTAGCAAGAGCTTGCAAGCAGCTTGCTCTTGTGCTCATCAACCTTGATACCTGTGTGGCTTTGTGGCCTCGATCGAGCCAAGGATGTTGGTGGACTCTAAGCTCGAGCCATTCAAAATCGAGGGCTCGAGCTTTAAACCCTAAACCCCAAACATCCCAAACTCCTTGGAGTCGGCACTCACATGCTGGGAGCAGGACGCCGGCATAGTGTAGCCACCGGTGGCCTTGCAGGATTCATGCTACATTGACTCTTCCAACTGTTGCCCAAGGCCACCATACCCCAATACCCCCAAGACCCAAGACCCGTCCATTCAATTTCTCGAAGGCTCTTCCGCCTTCTTTCCGGCGGCCCCGCGCCAGGGCGCCGATCTTGGCAGGACTTGAGTTTGGGGATTGACTAACACTCAGCAATTTTCAGCACCCTACTTGCTGCTATTTTCTCTTGTGCCCCGGATTCTTTTATATCCTGAGATTGCCTTAGATGCGCGGCACTCTCGACTCGGTGGCTCGAGCACCAGGTTTGGGCACAAAGTATGCTATGTCGAGGCAAAACACGAGCCCTTCACAAGTGAAGGGGCCTTGGTGGCAATTTGGCCCCCACGCTCCAAACCCTAATATCCTCAAAACACGGGAGCAACTGACGGCGAGGGATGTTTGGCCCAGCAGGTCTGAGATCCTTGACAATGTTAAAGGGTCAAAAGCCCCAATACAACCAACCCTTCCGCCAACAACGCTAGCAGAAACAATGCCAGCCTAGACGCATGTAGGCTCCAAACGATGGCGGTGGACTGCAACCAAAAGCGATCAGGAGCATAAACAAACGGGCCCGAAGCGAAAGCCGACGCTCTCGACCCCGGAATGTGCACGGAGCAACAGCAACCCTTTGTCGAAAAGCAAGACTTCAATGCGACGCTTCGCGAGGAGCCCTTCCACCGAAACATGCCAATGTCGCAGGCGCGCGCCCGCAACTCAGGTTCATACCGTTGACAATGAAGAGCTTAGGTCCCGGCCCTTCGCTCAATGCGGCCAGGCGCTTCTCCAGAACCTCCCGCACTGCAGGTCTGGGTGTCAGTGCTTGGGCGTTGCTTAGGAGCTTCAGCCAAGGCGTCTCCTTCCGAGAAAACCCAGGGCACAGAGCATCAAGAGCATCAGCCCGGACGTCTCCTTCCGAGAAAACCCAGGTCAAAGAGCAGCAGGAGCATCAAGCCGAGCGTCTCCTTCCGAGACAAGCCAGCTCAGAGCGTATCAGGAGCATCAACCCGGGCGTCTCGTCCGAGAAAAGCCAGCTCAGAGCGCATCAGGAGCATCAAGAGCATCAGAGCATCAGCTGGGCGTCCCATTCTTGGCAAGGCCAGCCCTGCCCACTGGGGTTCAATGCTTCCCTCCAGGTTCCTCAAACTCGCCTCCGTCAATCCCATCATGCATCCCACGCCGGCAATCGGGAAACCAGAAAGTGCAAAGCCCAGGAGTTCTGGACAGACCTTGAGCTCCGCAGTCATCTCCGTGGGGTCCCCACCTGATGCGAGAAACAGAGTAGCCGAGTTCTGCGTGCTGGAAGATGCTGGAAGGTTGCCCACAGACTTCAGATGTGGGGCTTAACTCCTGCACAGCTTCTGAACCCCGAAGCCTCTTCACGGCGACACATCTCCAAAGCTCCCTTTCTAGTCTTCGGAGGCCTAGGAGCTCTGCTGCAACAGCTTCCTGCAGGGCGAGCATGGAGACTTGATGTGCGCAACAGGAAAATTTTCTTGGTCGGCAAGTCATGGACACGAAAGCAAGCCTTTGCAAGCAGGGCTCCACGCTATGGCTTGGAGTTGTACGAGTTGAGGACTCTTGGGCTAAAGGCGTCGGATGCACCCATGGCAACTCACGTAGCACGAAAGCCTGCAACTGGCCGAGAGCCTGGCCCCCTATGTCCTACGATGTCCTACGTCCTACTTCTACCCCAAGTTCGATGCCCGCCGCGGCACCCGATACATTGGGCCAGAGCAAGTCGGCTGTGCAATGCCGGCGCCTTCTCCGCGGAGGCCTGCGCTAGGCGGAGCAGATCCGCCACCTCAGCCTGCTCGGGATAAGCGGGGCCCAGGGCTCCTGGGGGCCTTGAGCCTCTGCAATTTCTGACACTTGGTGACACTTTGTGACACTTTGAAGATCTGGAGAAAACAACGAAGGAAGGGTTTAGGGAAACTCAAGAGACGCACCGGTGGACCTCACTGAAAAGCTCACAGGCACTCCCCCCCCCCCAGGAGTTAAAACGCCTGCAGCCGTGCCAGTCGCTGCTCCGGAGGCTCAAAGCCCGGTGGCGCGACCTGCTCAGAGCAGCTCTGGGTACTTGGGGGGGTGCAGGCGCGGTGTTTTGGCGAGGGCTCCACAATGCGACAAGAACAATGCGGCTCTGCCTCGCTGTTGCTACCTCCATTCTTGGTGAACTAGATGGGACTCTATTCTTCATGGATCACTAAGCTTCTTCCGCTACGTCCGACAGTTTGCATCCCGCTGCTTGAGCTCACTTGAGGGTTGGCCACATGAACAAGCATCAGCAGCCCAAAGCCCAAACAAAACAACCAGGCGCTGAAACCCAAAACGAAACCCTCTGCGATTCACCACCAATCTCCAACATTGGAAAACTTCGAAGCTGGAAAGCAGCCTTGAACTAGCTGGACGTATCCATGCGCATCCAGCATGCTGAGGAGACCCTCATCCCTCGGCGGCCTCGTATCCCCGCCTCGGCTTTGCCGCGGCACGGGCTTTGGCCGCAGCGGCGCCCTTGCGGGTCCGAAGAGTCCGAAATCGAAACCCCAAACAAGGCGAGGACAGGCAGCACGCTGACCCTAACAAGTCCCCAAGACTGGCTGGCACAGCTAGGAGCCAAGACTTTGCGTCTGGCCCTGTTTCATGAGTCTCTAGGGACGCAGGACCTGCGCAACTTGATGAAAGGTCCCTGCGTGAACAGCTTAAACAGGTGTTCTGCCTGTAGAAATTAAACATTTCCCAGATGCCCTTTCTGACGGTTTTTTCACTTCATCATCCATTGCCGCTTTGGCATGAACGTGGCTATGTCGTGGCTATGTACACCTCGCGCAGCTGTGTTTCACATCCGGTGCGTCCTTTGTTGTCAGAGGCCTGGTGCTTATGCGTCAATGCAAGAAAGGACTAGGAGCTCCAAGTGTCTGGAATGGCCGCTTCGTGGCTGCGGCAGACAATTCAGGGTTCAGGAGTCGGCTCCTCTTTGGTATAGCTATAGCGGCAACATGCGGCAACAGGATATTCAGCGAGCGCACCGCTGTGAGACACCGCACTACAGGGGATCTCCAATCTTCAGAGAGCCCCCTCAGCATCGTGAGCTCCGGTGCGGCCTGCTTTCAGATGCTACAAACTTCGGGATGCGCCTTTAACCTCGGCCTCACCTGAACTGAGCCTAGCAGACTTGGCTAAGGTTCCTGCCATAGGATCCCGGACGATCCAGGGCTTCTTATTTCTTCCAGGCTTGTTGTATATGGCAGGCCCATGCAGGCCGTAGCAACTCTGAGCCCTTCACGACCCCAGGGCCCTCTTCCACACCCGGTCGTCCGCCAGTTCTTGGAGGGGCTCTAGTGAGAGAGAGAGAGAGAGAGAGAGAGAGAGAGAGAGAGAGAGAGAGAGAGAGAGAGAGAGAGAGAGAAAATGAGTGAGAGGCACAGAGATGGAGGCCATCTAATTACGCTACATGGACCTGAAAGTCCGAGAAAAACCTGGCAATCTCAACATGCTGAGAACATCTGAGAACCCTAAGCCGGCCCCAAAACACGAAAGATCCCGAAAGCAAAAACTCAGCAACTAGGTTACGTATGCAAAACCAGGGCAGCCGTTTTGCGCACGGGTCCCGTGGCTTTAGTGAGGGCCTTTGGGGCTCAGCTTGGGCTTAAGAGGCTTCATGCAGGCTTCAGTTTCAACAGCTGCGAGGATGCGATTCTCAAGCACAGAAATATACAGAAATGCAATGCAGCCGTCTGGCTTCGACATTGCCAAGGACTGCTTCAGGTCCAGAGCTAGCAAAGTTTCATGCATGACTCGCATGCTCATACAAGTTGAAACAGCACTCTATTTCAGTTGGTATTGGGATGTCGGCCTTGGGCCACGCACAACTAGCTGACTAGCCGGGCTCAGTCCACCTGCCGATCTTTCCGTCTTTCCAAGACCAGCTTGTAACAGAAGTTTCCAAGTGGCGCTCGATCAGATCCTCGAGATTCTGGCACGAAAAACTTGACGAGACGATGATGTCGGTGTCCGCGCTCTGCTTGCTTGCCCAAGCAACTGCGCGGCGAAACATCCTGTCTGAACGTGCAGCCACACACAGGAGGATGTCATGACGCGGCTCTTTCTTGCCAAGCTCCTCCATGATGGGCTTTGCTTCTCGCCAATCCGCAATTAGCAGAACTCGCGCTTGCTGGGCTTCATCAAGCCAGCTCAGAAAGCCCATTGCTTTTTTGTGACATATGAATCGGCATCTGGACATCATGGCTGAATCCGTCAACTCCTTCCGAAGGCGGTCATACTCCCTGTACAGGCAGTGCTCGAAGCACCACACCACCCAGGGTCCACACTCATTGGAGGACGGGCTCGAAGGGTCCATGCGGCTGCCTTCGGCAGAGGTGACCCCACCTCTCGAGCCCTAACACAAGGAGAGATTCAAGCGTAGCCTGAGAAAACGCCCCCGAAGTCCTGGCAAGTGAGACTCCCCAACTCCCACAGCTCCGACTGAGGGTCTGCGCGGTTGGGGCGAAGGGAGGGGGGGTCTCATCAAAGCTCCTTCGAGGTGTAGGAAAGTTCGCTGTTGTCGTTCGTGGTTTGTGGCATCTCGGACTTGGGTCGAAGGCTTTCACTTAGGCAAGAACCTGAATCTCTGTTTGTTAGTTGGAAGCTTTGCGCGGCTTCAGTGCAGAACGCTCTGAAACGCAAAATGCTTCTCGGTTGACGGCCTCGTTTGTTCACTTCAGCTGTCTGCAATTTAGAAGCCGCTTGTGGGTGAGGGTGAAGTAGAGAAAAAATGCAAGAAAGATGGGTACGCAAGAAGGATTGCATCTGTTCAGAATCACTTAACTGTTGGTGCTTTGAATTGCCTAGAGGAGTGATGAATATACGGACAAGGTTGAGATTGCCTTTGTCGTGCTGCCGTGAATGAAACGAATGAATGCATCGCCTGGGGTCGTCTTCCTATCTTCTCTAAATTAACGAGCGAGTCCTTTTGCGAGGAAGACCGCACCTCCCAAGCCTCACAGCCTTACACCCTAAGCCCCAAACAGGGGATTTCACACAGCCTCAACCCCGAGCTAAGCTCGAAACCTCCAAGAGGCAAGATAAATCCAAAAACCACGTGCGATTCTCAAACCACCTCTACACCCTGCACCAACACAGACCCGGATGCCTCCGGTGTCCGCAACGCAAATTCCGAACTCCAGGGGCTGCACCGCCCTCTGCAGGTTTTGCGGAATGTCGAGGGCTCATGCTGTGGCAGCTTGCATCTTGGGCTTTCGACGCAGCTGCACATGCAACGACGTAGTCTCAGCCTGTGCACCTTTCAAATAATCCATATATATATATATACACACACACATTCTATTCGTGAACGCCTTCAGCTCGGCAAACCAACGCAGAATTTTCTTCGACTCAATTACTATCACTTGCCTGACAAACAACCCAAACCACGAAGCCCACTGCCACAAACTCGAAGCTGAACCCAAACCATGCAGACTCCAATCCCAAGCGAGAACTGAGAGACCGATTCCCCCGCAAAACTCGACGAAGAACCGAGCCTTCGGAACTCGGCCGGGCCTCACCAGAAATCAGCATCAGAATCCAGAATAGAGTCGAATTCGGGTGCGCCCAAAATGCAGGACCCCGCTGATATACCCCCAACATACTTTAACCCTTATTGAAGAAACTCCCCAGAAAGCTGCCCCTATGTTGCGAAACCCCCATCGTTTCTTGTGGATCACAATCGGAGCAGTGCTAAAGCAGTACTAGAAAGCACTGCAGCTCCAACCCTCTGCAGCATCCTACACACCGCCACACCGCCGGGTTCCGCAGCAGTCAGCGACCCCAGATAGTGCACCGGGGCTTTTTTGACGAAAGCACCCCAAAGCTCTGTCAGATTCATCTTGCGAGATCACGCCCAATGCCGACCGTGCCAAAAGATTCATTCAGGACTCTTCACCTCCGAGTTTGTGACATCGGAAACCCGCATGCTTTTAAGACACAAAGCGAGGCGCTCATGCGCAGCGCCAGGACGCCGCAGTCGAAGAGCAGCTCCTGCTGAGGGTCCCAGCATTGCAAGTGACTGTACACATTCGCATGAAAGACTTTGGAATTTGGGGAACGTCTTGCTTGGAGTGTTGGGCTCTGGTTTTGCTATGGGTTCTTACGCATCTGTCAGAAATTTGATCAGATACCCTGATCTTGCCGATGACCGCCCTCAGTGCCTCCAGACACCCTGAGCTTGAATCAACCGAAGACCAAAAGAAAAGCTACCCAGGAGAACCAGGACAACTCAAGAAACCTGAGCCTCCCGCCTACACCAAAGCTGCAAACTGCCCAGAGAAACGACAAAGCTGGCGGCCCTGAGGAATCGCCTGACCCTCGGGCAGTCGCGCCAGGCGCACGTCCGCCACCAGCCGGGCGCCCTGAAAGAACGTAGAGCTGAGGTCGGCGTGCCATGCGTGAGTGCGGTGTTGGTATGTCTGCAAGTCAGATATGTGGGACTTCTTAGTCGGAACGAAAGACGCTTCCAACGGATCAATGCTGGATGCAAGAGAAACCACTCCCTTGCCTTACCTTGCGTTCTACTTGGGGGGGCGACGGGGGGGCCGGGCCGCCATTCACAGTGTTGAGACCACACACGGAAAGTGGTCATGCAAAAGAGCTTAATCTGCGAGTCGAGGCGAACTCCTCCCAAATCCATCCCCATCCCGGCCATGAGACAGGAGCTACGCATAGGCAGCACAGAGAAGCCCTTGTGATGTCGAGTCTTAGGCTGCAAGGATGGGGATGTGGGTTTGGTCACGCAGGGTTTAGGACCTGGCTGCGGTCTCCTGGCGTCTTTTGGGCCAGTGCCTTGGGAACGCCGAAAGGCAAACAGATGAAGAGCGGCATCTTCGTGATGCTCTGGACCTGCGAGCTGCACACACACACACACACACACACATACATACACGCACACGCACACACACAAGCACTGTCCGGACATGTAATGAGAGAACAGACTGAAGAAAGTGTGATAGAGAAGGCTGGAGAGTTTACAATCAGGGAAGGAAAGAGAAAATAGACGACTCGCGAACTGCATGACAAGACAAATGAAGGAAACAAGCAAAAAACGATTGGACACAAATATGAAGAAAATATTCAATTTTGGAGTTCCAAAGGATAAAATGAATCATTATAATGAAGAAATGTAGCGTGCGAAACCTAACGGATCTCAATGCTTCAATGCTAGAGCTCTTCCCTGCGGGCATTTACCCAGAGCTTGACAGGCACAAGGCAAGACTCAAATCATTTGCGACAATACAGAGGTGAATATTTTAAAATAGTGAGTGGATGAAACAGTCGGAAGGCTGCATGCTCTGAACGGCACACATGCCGAACTTTTCAGCCTGACACGCTCACGAGCTGCTTAGCCCCCTGCCCCCGTCACACAACACAACGCCCACAACACACACACACACACACACACCCACACGCACACGCACACGCACACGCACACGCACACGCACACACGCACACCCGCACACACC